ACCATTTTTACTTTCTCATCCAAGGACTAAACTGAATTATTCCCGTCTTGGGGGTTGGGGTGGGGTGGGGTGGAGGTGGGGTGGGGTTGGGGTGGGGTTGGGGTGGGGTGGGTTGGGGTGGGGTTGGGGTGGGGTGGGGTTGGGGTGGGGTGGGGTTGGGGTGGGGTGGGGTTGGGGGGAAAGACGACGTGGCTTTTGAGGGAACTGGCGACGCGAATCCGGATTTCTTATCCGTGCGTCACAAGTCGCGTCGAATCGTTTTCTTTTCGACGTACAGTCTTTTTTTTGGTAAAACCCACAGATATCATCGAATCATCATCGAATTCTCCAAACAAATCCAGAGGCAAAGGGGGAAAAAAAGGGGGGGGGGTGGTGGCCTTGGCGCATGCGCCACGCTGCCCCACCGCCACGTGACCGGAAGGAACCCCGCACGTTGTTACAGTGGCACTGTATCGGCGCCGTCCGGTCGGGAGTGTTCGCATTCGTAAACGTTCAGCGCTTAAAAACGCGCGGAATTTTTTTTTACACACACGCGCACGCGCGCACAGGCACGGGCGCGGGCACGATCCGAGGTCAGTAAATAGATGAGACTCGGATTAGTCATCAGTGGGGAATCCCGAGCCTGGAGCGGCTGAGCCTGGGCTCGAACCCCCCCCAACCCCCGGGGTGGCATTGGCTGGACCCCCGCTTCACTCACTGGGGGGGGGGGGGAGGGGGGGACCGTCTTGGATCGGAATGAAGCGCTTCAGGTTGAAAGACCTGGAGGGTTCCCTGCAGCAGGTGGACGTGTTCGAGAAGCCCAAACTGCTTTTGGAACAGTACCCCACGAGGCCCCACATCGCGGGTGAGCGGAGGGAAGGGCAGGACCAGGGGTGGGTGGGGGGTGGGGGGGGCAGTTGATGGCCACACGTTACACAACACCCACCCCCCCCAAGGTCCAGCACAGTGAAGGCTTTGCTGGGGGTTGGGGGTCAAGTGGGATGGAGGTGGGAGGGTGATCAAAGGCACAGTCAAAGAGGAAGTTCTTGAGATGAGTCTCGAAGAGGGGTGGGGCGAGGGAGGAGGTGTGATGGAGGGGCTCCAGGGATGGGGCTCCAGAGGGTGGGGGCAGAAAGGCTGCCCGCGGTGGAGCGGGCAAAGCGGAGGGGGGGGGGGGGGGGACGTGGAGCGGAGGTGAGGTGGAGGGGCTCCAGGGATGGGGTTCCAGAGGGTGGGGGCGGAAAGGCTGCCCGCGGTGGAGCGGGCAAAGCGGGGGGGGGGGGGGGAACGTGGAGCGGAGGAAGCGGCCAGGTTGATAAGGTCGCGGGGGGGGGGTTGCGGAGGGGTAGGAGCGAGAGCGTGGCGAGCCTCGAAACGGGCAGGAATTACGGTTTGGCGTCAACCCGGATTGTTCTCTTGCGCATTCTAGAAATTATATTCCATTCCCAGGAATGAATGGAAATTAAAAAATCCACGTTTTCTCGTTGCAGCACATATGCTGTACACAATCCACACGACATTCGATGACATCGAGAGGAAGCTGGTTGCAGATCTTGGGTGCGGATGTGGAGTTCTAAGCATTGGCGCAGCACTGCTCAATGCAGGGTACGTGGAGTGCGACGTGTGATTTGTTTGATCTGCGTCGCTAATCTCACACGAGAACTTCATGTTTATGACGAGAGCTTCACACTCATTTACTGAACTTGCCCTAAATTGGGAGTATTGGCAATACGTACTGCTTCGGGATGCTTTTTTTTAAAAATCACTTGTAGTTTACAATTTGTATCTGAATTTGGGCAATTCTAAAGTTAACCTTTAGATACATTATATTTTGAAATCAGATAATGACTTAAAGATGCAATCCGAGATCGTTAGGGGCTCAATGATTTCAGTAACTCAAAATGGTGCATTACCAACTGAGATATCAGTCAAACTGATATCATAATATTTTTATGCTAAGGAATGCTCTTTATTAAACAAAGTATTTAAATACAAAACAATTACATTCCTGTTTAACTAAATTGTGTTTTTTTTTGCTTTCTTTTAATCTTTGGCAGGTTATGTGTAGGGTTTGATATTGATGAAGATGCTCTTGAAATATTTAACAAAAATGCTGAAGAATTTGAACTGGCCAATGTTGATATGATTCAGTGCGATGTCTGTTCTTCGACGGATGGTAAATTAACAAAAGCATTTGACACAGTCATAATGAATCCACCATTTGGAACAAAGCACAACAAAGGTAGAAGGAATGTTTTGGCTTAATTTCGATTTGTTTTTGATATTTTAATTGAAAAATCAAAGCATTAAATAATTGATGTGCAATAAAAAAAATCTTGTTTACACACCATAAATGAAAATTGCAGTGAAATGTTAAAATTATTTAGTTTTTTTAAAGCACAAAGCTGCCAAGCCCAAATACTACATTTGGTTTTTCATTACTTTATATACTTATGCAAACAATTTGATAAATAGTTCTGATTAATAGACAAGTTACATAAATAATTGATCACTCAATCTGGTATTCATTTCCTCTTTATGGGACCATACCTTAAAAACTGTGGCCCACATACAAAATGTAAAACGATTATAAGATTAATCTGATTTAAGTATTCTACAATTGCATGCCCTTTCCCATCAGGTATGGATATGATATTCCTGAAAACGGCATTGGACATGGCCACAACAGCAGTGTATTCTCTCCACAAAACGACAACACGAGAAGTAAGTTATGTTGCTCGAGTGTATTTTACTAAAAATGGATAGACCTAATGCATTTGTAGATCGATAATCTGCCAGTTGCATTAGAAGCCAATACTTTTAAAATGCACTGAAGATCGGTTTCCTGATGGGACTCTTCAGAACAGAGGCCAATCAGAGAACAACAAATTACATTTGTATAGCCATGTCAGGACGACGTCCCAAGAGTAAGCCGCTTCCTTATTGCTCCAGTTGGTATCAGCTAATCGAACAGACAATGGAATTTATGTGGGACCTCACTACTACATTATATGTAGACATTGACCCCATTGCTTACATTAAATTTTTAATGCGACTGGATATGTTGAAAGTAATCAATAAAACTAATGGTACTTATAATAAGAGTCTTGAATATGAAATCAAGTGCTCTTCCAGGAACATAGTAATTAGGAGTAAAACACAATATCAGAAACATTTCATTGAGGTTTGTGAAAATGTGAAATATACTGTGCCAGAATCCATCAAGGCTACGTCATTTGAGATATTTAAAAGGAGTAAAGTTACCCCATAGTTGAGCCTCCCAGTGGTTGTTCATACAACACTTCAATTAATAAAAACGAAATGAAATATATCAGCTATTACTGAATAAGCTGAATACTGGCACATGACACCTCCAAAAAGTGAACCATGTGACTACTGTTCAAAAATGGAAGCTAGGAGTAGTCAAACAAACTGATCATTCTCCCGTTATTCTATAACAAGCCACATACCTGCAAAATTAAAATGGTCACAGTCTTCATTGATTCTGTTTCTTGATAAAATTATTTCTAAATCGCACTCCCAATATACTGTACTTCAGTGTGGCAGATACCCTCGGGTGGAAAGATTACTATTTTGCTTTAGCGCAATTAAGTCACATTTTTCTAAACAAAGCATTAACTAGAACAGTGAACAGGTATCATGAGCAATTAACAATATATTGCTCAAATTCGAAAGACTTTCACATATGCTTTTTCTTTACAGCATATTCAAAAGAAGGCTAATGAATTTAAGGTGAAGATGGAAGTAATCGCTGGTAAGATCCTGGTTTGCAAATTAGGATTTTAATATCACCATAGTATAGAGGTGGATTTTTCATGGGTGAATACCAAATTCAGGTTTATTGCAAGAAATATTCTTGCCACCAAGGGGTCAGATTTTTAGAGCTAAATTTTTCGAAATTTAATGTCAAGAACGAAGATAAAATTGGCACTTTTTTTGAAGCTCTAAATATGTGATTCCATTCCACTTGTGATTAACAATTCAGTAATATTACAGTCATATTGCAAAATCCTGTTTTAATATCAAAAATGTTTTCTAAACAGAGCTGAGATATGATTTACCAGCATCATACAAGTTTCACAAGAGGGAATCGGTAAGTTAGTTTCTGTTTCTTTGTAGTCAAGTATAATTATCTTAAAAAACAACTCTAATCTTATCATAGTCTAGACACTCTGTACTTTACATGATTTAGTCCTTTTACATTCCCACAGTGGCCAACCTTTACGATCAGCCCACCAAATTAATTGTCTTGATTTATGCCAGAAAATCAAAAGAACTGAAAGTGTACTACCGCTCAAACGCACACCTACCTACATTTGTGTAAATGTTCAGGTGCTGCTTCTTGATGGAGGCTTCAGGTCCACAGGCCACAAAATGGCCACCACTGATTTGCTGTATAATATGATATGAGTCATTCTCACTAGTTTTTATATCTTGTAGTGACTGTAAGTACTTATTCTGGATTATAATAATCACATCAGGCCGACATCTCAAAGCACTTCACAGGATTTATTTTGAAGTGGAATGACTATCTGTATGCAGATGGCAGCCCAATTGCAAACAGTAAGAAACAAAATCTAATCTGGGTGATTAGATTTTTTAAAAAATCAAATTGCAAACTTACATGTATCCTCCACTGAAAGTGAAGCTTGCATCATTCCCTTGTAGCTTTAGCCTTAACATTTAGAATGCTATTGGTCCAGCAACAACTTGGCTGCTCTCTCAAATTGGTCTCAAGACCCACTTGTGATTTGTGAATCCTGTTCAAATTTGATTTCCAGCATCTGAAATTATCTAATTTTTTGTCAAATTCAAACTCTTGCTAAATTTCTCAAAATCATAGTATTTAAGTTACTGTTGTCACAAGGCAATAAAGTCAAGATTTGTTACCATTGAAAACTACTTATTCACAATGCATGATCTGATCCACTGAATAAGCATCTTTCCCTGGTCACTTCATAATTCACAATTCAAACATTGGACTGTGAGATGGAACTTGTCAAAGGCCATTTTATTAATGAATTGGAAAGACTATTTACAATAGTACAGGATTATGAACAAAGCTTCTCAAGTAAAATCACCTTTTAAGTCAAGTTACAGTACCATTTACTATGTGATACTTAATCTGAGGAAGCATCGAGTACTGGCTTCAGTGTGCTTAAACTGCAGGAGACAATTAACAAAAAACAGAACCAAACATACTAAAGTAACCGAGAATATAACCTAAGAATAAAATATTTTGTTTTTAAAAAAAATTCTGCCTGAACTTTAGACAAGCATGCAGTTCTTAAAGGGATTTTCAAACAGTTTCAACCTGCTCTTTTTTTTTTTGTAGGTTGACATTAAAGTGGACTTCATACGGTTCTCTTTTAAATAGTTCCATACATTTGAGAGACATCCAATCGCACAACCTTGGAATGACTACATAATTTTTAAATAAAAAAAATTGTTGAAACCCATGTAAATGCATATGATTCTCTTTATCTCGGCTACATGCTCAAAATGGAGTCTCACTTATCACCTGCTTCATCTTCTGTTTTCGGTTTTGGCAAAGGCTCTTCAGTTTTCATTTCTTTCAATGCAGGTTCCTCCGTTTTTTTGGGTTCCGTCACCGTCACTTTTGGCGCAGGCTCTTTTTCAGTTTCCTCAGTTTCTTCCACTTTCATTTGTTTCGATGCAGGCTCGTCTCCAGATTTAGTTTCTTCGAAATGTCGCTTCTTTTCGTTTGTAGGAGCTCCAAGTTTTTTTTTTAATTTTTAAAAAAAAGAATAATGATTAAACTTAAAAATGTAATTGGTGCATGGGTACGAAAAAAGAGAGGAAAAGGGTGGAAGGAAAACTAAATTAACAACCACCTCCTAAAGTATGAGCTAGTTTAAGACAATTGAGTCATCTGTTATCTTTTTCATTCATTTTACAAACTCAACTCACTGCCAGGGTCACTAGTTTGTAAATACAAATTGAACCCCAATGATTTTTATATTAAAGACTTAGATTCAACCTAACTTCTGCCATACCAGAGAGTGCATAATAAAAAGCATCAACTTATCTAAGGTTATCTGCAGCAAGACCCTTTCTACTACCACGCATCTGTGCAAATGACACTATGGTTATCTGAGGAAACGTTAGGTTATATCTGACACTGCTGAACAAGTGTAATGTGAATATTCAGTTTTCAATTTTGGTAGGGTTGGGAGAGGGAGATGTTTTACGGAACATCTGGGATTTTTTTCCCCCCCCGATAACAATTTCCACAAACTACTGAACTATCTTTTTATTCCAGGAATTGAAGCACCTATTGAGAATTGAATATCTAATGCTTACCGGTTTCTTCAGTTTCCTCCATTCCATCACCACCACCATCTTCCTCTTCACTGTCAAACGTAGTTTTCTTGCCTTGGAACTTCACTCTGGTTTGTCTTCGACCACCTTTAGCACTCCTGCCACGACCTCTACCCCACTGACCTTTAAGTAAATAACTCTAATCACATTCTGCACACTTTAAAAAAAACTATAAAATGTGCTCACATTAATAATATTCCTTGCATTTGAGATAGTAATTTAACAGTAATTAATTACCTCTGCCTTTTCGTTTATTCAGAGATTCCTCTTGATCCTCCATTATTTTCTTTAAAATCTTTTTCTCTTCATCACCTTCCAATAATCCCCAAGTCACATCTTTTCCTCGCAGCTGCAAGTTTCCATCATGGGCTTCTTTGGCCTTTTCAAGTGCTTCCTTTGCACTTGTTTTAAAGAGAATATTTCCCTATGAATCACATGTCAAACATCAGTCAGTCAGAACTCAATAAAACACCAGCAAAATAAAACAAATGCAGGAATGTATAAAACAAGAAGAGGCTATCTGGCCAATTTCAAAGTAGAATAACCTAATGCATCCTGCAAATTAATTTCCTTGTAGAATAGCTATCTTATATTCCTCTACACTTTACTGAATCAGTCTGTCTTGATGCAATCACCTTTACCATCGCCCTGGCAAGTCTATTTGATAAATCCAATCTATGTTGAGGAATTAAACCAAGCTCTCCACTGAAGGGTTTGCCTGCACCTTTTAAAATTTATTCAATAATACGTCCTTTGAACAATATCTTTTCCAGTTATAACAAAAATTGAGATTACTTAAATCCATTAGAGTATTATTCCTCCAGGCTTACCTCTTTAGCGCCTCTTGTGAAATCCACCCATCGTATCTCACCGTGGTTTGAGAAAACTTCATGTATATCTTCCCTACACGTCTGGTCAGTAAGGTCACCTGAAAATGCCAGCAAGCACCCAGACTTTTCTTCCATGGATTTCTTTAACACACAAAAGTTTTCATTAGATGCTTTTAAGAAACGTAATATAATCCATGCATTTGACATGGCATCTTATCAAGTCTTCTGGACATCTCAAAGTGTTAACCTCTATTGACAATACTCTCTTATAGTGATTGACTTATAATCTTACCTTCATAGATTCCTCAGCTATTTTTTGTATCTCTTGTTTGTCACTAAGATTGAAAAAAAGTAATTAGAATCACTTTCATTGGTGATTTTCATCTCAGTTATACTATCTCATCCTTTTAGTTAGTTCAGTTTCAAAGCACTGCCTCAAAAACCACCGTCTCTCACAGGGTCTCTCTCATATTCTCCTCCCCCCAAAAAGATTCTAATCAGTGTCCACTTACTGTTTTTTATTTTTGGATCCTCTGTTCTGTTTTTCTTCAGCCTTCTTTGCAAAATAAGCTTCTCTTCAAAAGAAAATAGGTTATTAAAATCAGTCCTTGCATCAGATCTTCTAGTCAATTTAAAGATGAACACACCTGACATGTTTGATAAAAAGATAGTTGCTAAAATCTACAACAAGATTGCATTTATAGAGCGCCTTTCACGTCGGGAGGACGTCACAAGGCGCTGGACTGTTGGGTCGGCACCTGAGCAAGGGGGAAATGGTGAGGGAAGGGAGGGAGGGAGCGAGGAGCGGGTAGAGAATCGAGAGGGGAGGAGAAGGCACGGTTGAAGAGAAAGGTCTTGAGACCAGCCTTGAAGGAGGAAAGGGCGAAGGCACCGGGGGATGGAATTCCAGAGCCTACGGGCTGAAAGCCCGGCCACTGATGGTAGGGCGGTTAGGGCGGGGGATGTGGAGCAGACCGGAGCCAGAGGAACGGAGGGTACGGGCAGGTAAGTAGGGGGATAGTAGGTCAGAGAGGTAGGAGGGAGCGAGGCCGTGAATGACCTTGTAGGTGAGGATGAGGATCTTGAAATCTATTCCTATTCAAGTTTCACAAATGGTAGAACATAAAGATCAGTCTTTACCAGAGCTCCTTCTAATAACCTCATCAATCTCAACTTCAAAATAAATTTTAATCTAATTACACAACAAATCCCAATAAATAAGGCATTTCATTTTGTGGTTTCTGGAGATCAGGAATAGCGACTTTGGGAAGTAAAAGTAGATGGGGGGAATTAACCTGTGTACTTCTACATGCATCTCAAATTAATTCGGGTTACTTGAAAGTAATTAGTAAGTGTAACCAAATTACACCAGTCCAAGCCTATCTAGAGGAATCTGTGCTAGATGAAAGAACTTTAGCAAGTAACTCCAATCTCAAAACAGTAATTATACACCTACTTGAAAAGCACAATCATGTCAGTCTCCTTATACTTCAGACCTGAAGTTTCCACAAATTTCTTGGCCTTTTCTACACTGTCATACACCACAAATACTGATCCCTGTTAAGAGAAAAAAATAAGTTAGAACAAGAATACTTAAGTATACTCTAGTGAAATTGTACAAACTAATCTGGCAGTAGAACAGGGAAAAATTGTACCTTGAATTGCTTCTGCAAAGTCCTTCTCATTTGAATACTCTCCCCAGGTCCTTTCTCTTCAAACCATTCCATTATTTCATCAAGTGTTGCACTTGTAGGAAACCCCTTCTGTTAATCAAGAAAGGTGGTTTTAAGAATGAAAAAGTTGACAAAAATTTCAATTAAGACTTCAAATTATATCAAATCTAGTTTAATTAGTTTCATTCTTGGAATTATGTTAGTGTAAGGCTTTATAAAACAACAAGAAGATTCCATTTATAGAGCGCCTTTCACGTCGGGAGGACGTCCCAAGGCGCTATACAGTTGGGTCAGGACCCGAGCAAGGGGGAAATGGTCAGGGTGAGGGAAGGGAGGGAGCGAGGAGGGGGTAGAGAGTCAAGAGGGGAGCTGAAGGCACGGTCAAAGAGAAAGGTCTTGAGACCGGCCTTGAAGGAGGAAAGGGAGGAGGCGGCGAAGGCACTGGGGGATAGAGTTCCAGAGCCTCGGGGCTGAGAGGCTGAAGACCCGACCACCGAAAGTAGGGCGGTTGGGGCGGGGGATGTGGAGCAGCCCGGAGCCAGAGGAACGGAGGGTACGGGCAGGTAGGTAGGGGAGTAGGTCGGAGAGGTAGGAGGGAGCGAGGCCGTGAATGGCCTTGTAGGTGAGGATCTTGAATTCGATCCTCTGGGGGATGGGGAGCCAGTGGAGGCGAGCGAGGGTGGGAGTGATGTGGTCCCGAAGCCTGGTGCGGGACAGTACACGAGCTGCAGAGTTCTGAATGACCTGCAGTGTGGAGGGAGGTGTGGGGAAGGCCGGCGAGGAGAGAGTTCCCATAGTCCAGCCTTGAGGTGATAAAGGCGTGGACCAGAATTTCAGCCGCGTGAGGGGTGAGGTAGTGCCGTAGTCTGGCGACATTCCGGAGGTGATGGAAGGCGGTGCCAGTTGTGGCGCGGATATGAGGGAGAAAGGACAGCTCAGGGTCGAACAGAACCCCGAGGTTCCTGACTGGCTTTGAGAGGTGGAGAGTGCAGCCTTGGATGCTGAAAATCAATATTCAATATGTGATTTATTAGTGAATACACAAAACTGCCTCACATTCAGAAGTATTTTATGTTTTGCCCCACACCAGCATTGTGTTGATAAGTTGGAAGAAAAAAAAACTACAGAACTACAATTAATTTAGTGCCAAGAAAAACATACGGTATTGTTTGAGTGCTTAACAATGGTGAAACATTAACATTTAAACAATGAAGACTTACAACATAAACGGTTTTGGCTTTTACAGAATCCTTGTACTTGTCATCCATCTCAGGCAGAGGTTTAGATGGAACACGACGAACTTTGCTCTTGTCTTCACTTATTTCCATAAGCCCAGATTTTGATTTCTTAAGTGCTTCTACTATTGTAGGGAAATCTGTGGTGAGGCGACTTAATCTGGAAGGTAATTTTTTAAAAATAGATATTAATATATAAACACACAAACTTACACCAGCATGTACGTATTCAAGCAGTTCCAATTTATCCTTACCTGTTAAATTTAATCATAGTTTCCAGAGGTACCCAACCATCATCCAACTTTATTTGTTCGGTGAGAAATTTATCTCTTGGCAAATTGTGATCACCAAAGTAATACTGCACAAAAAGATGACAAAAGTAAATTCTTGTATGGAAACTTAAGAGATCTTTGCTAAGATGTCTTGACTATGAGACAATAACGTAAGCAAAAATGATCCTATCAGGAGGGGTTAAACCTGGACCACCAGACAAACACTGTACCTATATACAAATAAGCATGCTCGCTCAACATTTCGCCCCAAGAGCAGAGCATTGTGTAGGGAATCCCTGAAGGGATTGCAATCCTAGAATTTCAGGAGCACAATTACCATACGAGATCCCAGGAACCCTGTATGGTCACGGGGCTCCCAAAATCACAGAATTGCAGCTGCTAGATGCCTGAACGACATTATCGAAGCACCCAGCCATCCTCTCACAACCCAACTACGGTTATGAGGGGCCATGAATTCAGTCTTAAGTTTAAAAACTATTCTGGTATTTCTCTTGTTGACGGACCGGTTTAACTGCGGCAATGGTGTGTTAAGTTTTACGGTAGCTAAAGAACTAAAAGGAGAATTTACTGAACAACGAGTAGCTATGGCTTTCAATTCTCCATTATTGGTACCAAGCAAAGATTATCCGAAGAGCACTTTCCATTCGCAAGTCAACGCGGTGCCGGCGTTTACATACTTCAATCTGTTCACAGATTTTCTTCTCTTGAGGAGTAATTTCGTCTGCATCTCCATTAGCTGCCATTTTGAACGCCTGCAAGAAAATGCAGAATATATATCTGAGACCACTTTCCTCTTCGGTCCATTTGCCGCCCAAAAGCAAAACCGACCCTCGAGTTTTTTTTTTCTCTCGCTTCGGGCAAACGTGGGGGAGGGGGGGGGGGGGGGGAGAAGAAAAAAAAACACCTCTGATGTATGTACCTGAAGGATCAAAAAAAAAGGAGAGAGAGAGAGAAAGCCACTCGCGTTGAGCAAATAAACCAAATTCAACATAAAAGGCAGACGGAGCCACGCACTGCATTTACACTTCATCGAATTGAAACTGAAAACCAAAACCCTGCGCAGCTTCGGGAGAACTGCACCGCCAAAGGGGGGGGTCCCTCCCCGTGCAGACTGGGGGGCAGAGGAGGAGCCCCTCTCTCCGTGGAAACGACGGATCCCGCCGAAAGGCAGGTGGGCGGTGGAGGGGTCCATCACCAGTTGGGGCCCCAATAATACCCCCTCCCCACCCCACCCCCTCCCACACACACACACACACACACACCGGTGAAGAGAGGAGAGGGATGATGTCCCGACGTTGCTGATTCTCCCTCTCTCTCTCTCTCTCCCACCCACCACCACATTAGTTCAGCTCCTTGACCCCTGGGCCGAGCCACGAGGTCTCCACGCTTCGCTGACCAGTCGGGCGAGGGTGGCGTCCGGAGGCCATCGCTTGTGCGCGTGTGTGTCCCACCAGCAGAGAGGTCAGGCCTCAGCTCTGCTCAACCCGCCTGAGGGCCGCCATGTGCCCGCGGTTTGCCGCCGCCGCCGCCGCACGGATTCCCCTTCCCACCCCGCGGTGGGTGGGGGTGGGGTGGGGGGCGGCGTGAGGAGGGAAAGACAGGCCGTGGCCTCAGCCCACAAGCACAGAGCAGATTAGGCCCCGCAGCGGCCCTGTCGTAACCCTCTCTCCCTCTCTCTCTCTCTCTCTGGGGGAGGGGGAGGTGAGCGGTGGCCGCTCCCACACACACACACACAAACGCACACTTTTTTTTTTACCTCAACCCGAGCTCCGGTTCCTCCACAAACCGCCGCTTCAGCCTCGCGCGCCGCCGCCGCCGCCTGTTTAAAGCCTCCCAGCAGCCAGCGCGGCTACTTCCGGCCAAGGCCCACGTGCCGTAACCCCCCGATCGATAGGGTGAGCATCGACCGGGGGGGGGAGGGGCGGGGGAGGGAGGGGGAGGGGGTGATGATGATGATGGTGTTGGTGGTGGTGGTGATGATGATGATGGTGGTGTTGATGATGGTGTTGGTGATGATGATGATGGTGATGATGATGGTGGTGTTGATGATGATAGTGATGGTGGTGTTGATGATGGTGATGATGATGATGACGGTGATGGTGTTGGTGATGATGATGATGGTGATGATGATGGTGGTGTTGATGATGGTGATGATGATGGTGTTGGTGATGATAGTGATGGTGATGATTGATGATGATGGTGTTGGTGATGATAGTGATGGTGATGATGGTGGTGGTGTTGATGATGATGGTGTTGGTGATGATGATGATGGTGATGATGATGGTGGTGTTGATGATGGTGATGATGATGGTGTTGGTGATGATAGTGATGGTGATGATGGTGGTGGTGTTGATGATGATGGTGTTGGTGATGATAGTGATGTTGATGATGATGGTGTTGGTGATGATAGTGATGATGATGGTGATGATAGTGATGGTGGTGGTGATGATAGTGATGATGATGATGGTGATGATGATGGCGATGATAGTGATGGTGTCGGTGATGATGATGGTGGTGTTGGTGATGATAGTGATGATGATGATGATACTGATGGTGGTGGTGATGATGGTGATGATGATGGCGGTGGTGGTGATGATAGTGATGATGATGATGGTGATGATGATGATGGTGATGATAGTGATGGTGGTGGTGATGATAGTGATGATGATGATGATGGTGATGATGATGATGATAGTGATGATGATGGTGGTGGTGATGATGGTGATGATAGTGATGGTGGTGGTGATGATAGTGATGATGATGGTGATGATGGTGGTGATGATAGTGATGGTGGTGTTGTGGTGTGTGTGTTATGTTATGTCTGTGTGTGTGGTTTGGTTTGGTCAGGAGGTGTCTGGTAGTTGCTTAAGATCACTGCTTAAGTGCATCCTAAGAAAATGCCAGTCAAAAAAAAAAGGCCCATCTAGTACCAGCTGCCACCTTCCCGGCGGTCGCTCTGCACACATGTCTCCCTAACTACCCGTGTGCTATGCCCCACAATGTTATTTCCTAAAAAAAAACATCAAACTGAACTTAAGAGAAAAAAAATCGCCAGGACTCCTTGTGATTGTATCTATTTTTTTCTTAATCGCGCACCGGCGGCGAATCGAAAACGCTCTTATCTCTCAATAATCCCCGCTTTTGATATTGCACCTTGTCTGGAGGACTTGTGAAAGCGCTAGGCAGGAGTTACTGTAAAGTGTCGTGTCTGTATACTTTGAGGGAGGGGAACGGGAACAACGAATTTGTACACGGCGATGACCCATAAACAGCCGTGAAGCGAAAGACCGGTTTTATAATCTGGGAGGTTGTTTGGCCAGGACACCTCGCGCGAAACGCACTTCTCAAATTGGATCTCAAAATTGTAAGATTTGTTTAACTGATGTACCGATTGGGTTATGTATGTCACAGTGTCATTTAAATAAATGCACAACACGAAGTAAATCTGTGGAACTTGTGTGTTTTATATCTTAAGTTCAGCTTAAGTTGAACAAACAGCATGTCCGTTTTAATCACAAGAATCAGGATAAACAACCAACTATGTTTTTGTTTTTATTAAACATTACACATCTCAATAGTATAAATAGTAATCATTTCAAAATACAATACAAATGGTGTAAAATGTCAGGTCTCCTTCACTTAATGGGGAAATCTGACTTATAGAATGTACTCCTTAAGTATCCTGCGTGTCTGAATATTTCACTTTTCCTGATGCATTTGTGCCCAGAGATCGTGAGGTACAGGTGAAACAACTGTTATAACTTTATCCCCATTGTGATACGTGTATTTTGTTCGGTGGGCTAAAAAATACCAGATTATAAATAAAATAATACCTTTTACGATGACACGTTATACACACTAACACAGCCATGTGAACGCATTGCACTAGGCAGGTTCCCAACTATTTCCCAAGAGTCTTGCTCAGGGTCATATTTCTCAATACTCTGTAAGTACGTTCCCTTAGAATAGGAGTATCCACCTGTGACATAAATGCAACCATTCATCACCAATGCACCTGATTCCATCCGCCTTTCATTCATCTGGGCTATCTGTCTCCACTGATTCTTCTCTGGATCATAACATTCAGTAATTGTTGTTTGGCCGCCAACTAAGTAAAGCTTATCATATAAACCAACAGAGCAAAGTCCATACTCTAGGGGGAAAAAAACACATATCTGAATTAGCAACTTGTAGCAAAATGCAATTCCATTTACTTATACCAATTTGATGCACAGTTTTCTAATCTTAAATCTTTTGACTACAATGCTATTTTTCCCCTCAATCTACATGATGAGACAATTCTTTGTTGGTTAGTCGATTTATGAACCTCGGCAAGTGAATTTCTATTATTGCCTGCTAGCCGGAATGATCATTGAATAATAATCATCCTTGCATTTGATATAGCGCCTTATCACATCTTCAAGACGTCTCAAAACGCTTCACCCAATATAAGGTAAAGTGAATTGACTGCATATTTTGTGGGCGAAATCAGATCCCCTTTCCATCTAGGTCAGTTACATTTCCAACAGTTCATAGATTATCGTCACAGATATCATTGGGTTCCCACAAAATGAGGTGACTGACCAATTAATCTGGAAAATTGGTGCCTAGGTTGCCAAAAAAACACTTGTCTCTTTTCATGGGATTTTTAAAGTCCAGACCTGGAACTTGGACCACAACTTACAGACTTAAATGCAAAAGTGTTACCAACTAAAGGAAATTAACACCTATATTCATTCAGCATCAGACACAAATAACAATAGCAACTGTTCTGTGAGACAGAACATAATTATGAGGATGCAATGGGGATACAAATATAACAGTGCTGCCTGTCATTTGCATGTCTTGTTCCCAGACTAATGGGATCAAAGCTAACAAGTATAGTTAGTAAAAACCTTGACAGGAACAAAATTTATTCTGCATCTCAGATTGTGCCATGTATTAAATCAGCACAGTTCGAAACACAAGAGGGAAGAAAGCAATGGCTCATTAACATCAAAGTCAGTTCTGTTTAGCCAATTTTCTTACAGTATGTTACCTGGATGTGGAGTAATTGTCACAATGGTCCATTCGTTAAGATCTGAAGTGTAACTCTGAATTTTGTCATATGTGGAACTTCCTCGATAACCATAATGGCCTCCGATTACGTATATGACATCTCGGAGGACGCAAGCTGTTGCATTTCCAACTCCTATACATCAAAGTTCCATTAGTACTGATGCAGTTATATGATAAAAAAAACTAGCTGCCGATATGACAATCAGAGGGCATATTTAAACCTATATCAAGTACAACATAAATGGCTTGGCTAGTTCAGTTGATTTGAATTTTGAAATAAATCAAAGTACTGAAGTAGTCACATTTCCTAGAAGCAAAGTTGTCCCTCTTTCCATGTACACTCATTCTTTTTAATAGAAATAATTAATAAATTATTATTATTTAATAGAGATAAATTAAGGTTCTAAATGTAATTCTAAAGTCTACAATCTAAGGCCTTATAAATGGTCTTATTAATTCTAGTTGTAAACAACACAGGTGTTGCATTAATTGCCAGTATAAGTTGTTGTGTACCTTTCAGCATGTTTGCAATCGGGATCCATCTCTTTTTCAAGGGATCATAAAATTCTGCTTCTTGATTTGGAGCCCCTCCTGTGTAACCACCCATTGCATAGACACATCCACTCATAGTAATTGAGCAGTGATAATAGCGAGCATTCAACATAGGACTCCCTTCTGTCCAGTCATCCCTTTCTGCATTATAGATCCATACAGTGTCCAGAGCTTCCAGATTGTCTGACCTATAACCTCCTGTCACATAAATGTGCGCTCCCAAAGCAGATACACTATAGCTTTCTCTTGTGTGGTCAGGCATCTGTGAGCCCTGTATCCAGGAATTGGTCAAAGGATTCCAAACATGGACCTCTGACAATGGATGCCAATAATAACCGCCAACGATAAACATATTGCACGTTGGCTTCCAAGACAGCGGATTGAGATTATTTTGTTTTTCTTTCAAAATGTGACATTTTAAGGAACGCATCTTAATGTTACTGGTGAGCAGGCGTCGCCCGTGCAACTCCAGTGCTGTTCTGAGGTACAACTCGTCCAAATCAACGTCAATGTACCTCAGTAATTCTTCCACACATTCAATTCTGTTTTTCACATCGTACGCAATCCACTTAACTATGGCTTCCAAAAGGACATCTTCTTTCCACACGTTGAGGTTATCCCTGGAAAGAATGAAAAAGAGTTTGTCCTTGCTGAGCTCCAAGAATTCGTCCTGTCTTGAAACTTCTTCAAACCTGGAGAGGATCATCCTTCGAGATTCCTTTTCTAAATCGGTGCAAACGTGGAACTCACCGAAGGAATGCATTCCCAAACAGTTGTCGACATCCAGGTGTCTGGCCAGAAAGTCTTCACATGCTTTTTTTACGGATATAAACTGCAGAAGATCTGCAGCCTCCAAAAGACTCTGGACATTTTTTTCTGTTATTACCACCTCTGATGTGTATACATAGCACACAAGAGCCTCCAGGATGCTGTGATCAACGCCGGGGAGTTTAATGACCTTGTTGCCTTTTTCCTTCATATCCGCGGTGAACATTATCTTGAAATAGGTGCTGCAAGCTGCCAGAGCTGCTTTGTGGCAATGAAACAACTGTCCGGACACACACTGCAAAGTGATGTCTGCAAATAATCCATTCAAATAAAACTCTTTAAAGGCATCCAGGAATTCCATAGAATGACACGAGTCCTTAAACTCATAGGAATATTCGTCATCCCCTTGAACAGCCATTTCTGNAAAAAAACATTGATCAATGTCATCTTCACAGAGTGTTTGCCTTTACAGCATTAAATATACAAGGCTTGTCTCGTTATATGTAATTGTCTTTGACACCAATGAGACTACTGTAACAATATTTTGTTAATGTGGTATGTACTCTGCAAGAGAGATGCTAAACACATGCTTAAGTTGCGCTGAATCATAATGAATTAAACATCGATATTGGATATAGTTCTCAAAAACACCCTAAACAGAAGTATGCAACTACTGATTTAAAAAAGAAACTTAACTCTCTGGAGTAACTGGTCTGAACTAAAAATATAGACTTAAATTAATGTCATCTCCTCCACAGAAATCATTGTGCTCTATGGAATATTGAGACCTATTGAGACATCTCTATAATGTGATAATAATACTAATAATCCTTGCATTTGATATAGGATTTTATTATGTCTTCGAGACGTCTCAAAGTGCTTCACAGAATATACTGCAAAGTGTATACTTTGTGGGCGAAATGTGGCAGCCAATTGCTCACAGCAGCGTCCCACAAACAGTCAACAACAACAACAGAAATTTGTATTATGTAGCGCTCCTCACGCAGGGAAGTGTCCCAGAGCGCTGTGTGGGATGAAGCTCCCAATCTCGGTCATGGATTGAGTGACCAAATTATTATTATTATTTTGAGGTGCTATATCAAATCCAAGGATTATTATTATGATTAACAATACAGTTCCTAATTTGCAACAGGTACAGTATACATTGTAGGTCCTTCTGAAACATCAGCAAGCAACCTTGCGGCTCTGTTTATTTTCCTAATAAACCTCCTGCTTTGTGGGAACCTTTAAAAAAAGTATACTTTATCCTCACTTAGGTTGGGGTTACAAAACAGCACAATTTGTAAGAGTATATATATCTTGATACCAGGATTGTAAGTGGGTGTAGATTGTGTGATATTACTGAGTGCAACTACGTGAACAGACTTTCCTTTACCCTTTGGCTCTTCTGTGCTGAATGACATCTGCTGTCTCAATCATGTCTCAGCATTATTTTCTGTTTCTAAACATACTAAACATGTACACCAGTCGGTTTCTTTTGGAATAAATAAGGTCAGGGATTCCATGTTGACAAATCAGATTGCTTTTGAACGGTTGGGAGTGTAGAAAAATACTGCAATCTTTTAATTGTTAAAATTTTATTTTTCCAAATGAAGACAGAATGTAAATTTGGACACCATATTACCGGGTTAGATGTTGGGTTTAACATTGCAGAGTTAGATGTTGGTGTCCTTTCTTTATTTAAAAAAAAACACAATCGCGATAAGCAGCTTATGAACGACAGGCGATCTCAGAAAATATAAGGTTTGGTAATTATAACGGGTCAGTGTTTAAAAAAAGCACAGCCTCCCTCCCTCCCTGCTTAGTAAACAATAGTCCTACATACCTTTTCAATACAGATCGATTATGTTCCTCTCCTGCTGGGCAGTTAGTTCTTTCAGGAGACGGTGTTGTCTAGGGATATTTTGGTGAACAAATGCAATCCACGGACTGAAAGCCAAGCCAGTGGGTGGCAGATGAGCTCTCATCACAAGAACTCGAGGATTGCGGCCAGCTCTATTTTGGAGTGTGCTGTGCATTGAGCTGCTCAGCTGTCACAGACTCTCTATAATAGGCTGAGGTTGCACCCTGACACTCACCAAGGTCTCCAGGGACAGATCTGAATTTAGAACTGGGAGGACTTTTGTGCTGTATTTATTTCCCCAGAACAGATCCACCCGCTTAGCATATTCCCTGCTTCTTTTCGGAAGACAAAGACAAAGGTCCCATAAAGCCTTTTAATTTTTTTATAGAAAAAATTAGGATTTTACCAGATTTGCTCTGAAGTCAAATTGCTTATAAAGGGGAGCAAAGTGCAGTTTACTGATATCCTCTTTGTCCTAGAAAGACCCCCCCAAACCCCCACCACACGCGTTTTCATTTATCTGAATTATTCTTCCTCTTGTAACCAGAGATTGTCACTATGGAGAATAATATAAATAATAATCCTTCCAAATGCAAGGAATATTATATTATTGTTTATTATATATTATAATGCAGGTCTGCTGTCTTTAGTGGCCACAAGTAATTATTTTATATAATAAATTGTGTTGCATTTAATTACAATATATTTACATATTACAATAAGACTTGTATTTAATTACAAAATAATTTGTTGCATTTCACAATGAATTTCTCACGTTGATTATTAGTGGAAAATATTCAGGATTTAAGATTAGGGGAAGCAACATTTCTGAATTATGTGTGTATGTCTCAAGCAGCCATTCGAAGCAACGCTAACAACCTTTGCCATAGCAACCATTAACTGGATCACTTGGATGTCATATAGATTGATATAACATAGAACCTTTTTTTTAATAAAAATCTTTTGGATACTGATCACATTAGAACTAATTGTTGGCATTAGAACGGCTGCATTTGGTTTTGTTAGAGTTTATGACTTAAGTAAATTAATAATTTTTTTTATTAAAAAAGGATGTTTTCAGCAGTGTAAAGGTCATGTCATGCCTTTTTAAATGGATTTCAATGTGATTAAAATGAAATGTGAATGTGTGTAATCTAACGGCAGTATTGTGCTCTCAGATTGAGAACACAGATGGTTGGTCAAAAATTTACTACAGCTGAAATTTTTAAAATCTATATATATATATTTTACACACGATTAAATGGTAAATAAATGCACATTTGAACATTTCCGTCGAACAAGTAGGACAGTTGCTAAATGGCCACACACATACTGCTTTTGAGATAAGAATCTATATCGCTGTAGATATATAGGTACAATTAGATTTTTGAACACTATACGGTAGTTATATGAGGAAAAGGAGAGCAATTGGCACGTAAATCTAACATTTCGGTCCTCTAATGCATTAGGCATAAGCGATCCATCCATTTTCAGTAGAGCATTTAATGATTTTCTATTGTATTGAATGATCTCATGGCAAGTCAGAGGACAAACAAGGTGCATTCATCTGTTCCATGTGGACAAATGCGCACTTAAAATGGTCAACTTTGGGGTTTCGATAGAATAAACACTTATCTTTAAAATAATCATCCAAAAGCAAGATGCTACAAACAAGAATATTACACAAAAAGTATGTTCCGCTGTTTGGTTTAATCGAGTAGCGGTTAATCCGTCATCCTACTTTCGATCACCAGAAGATCACCAACGCTGCGATTGGAAATTAGATCATTACAGAAGCCCGATACAATCGCCAAGAAGACAGCATTAATATATTAGTCAATAATATTTTAATCATTTTAATGACGAGTTTCACCCACAAAATAGTCAATCCACTTTACAATATATTCTATGACAAGATAATGCGTTCTATCAAATGCAAGGATTATTATTATAATTATAAATTATTGCCCTGCTGTTTAGCTGAGGCCGATTACAAACATACAGGACACAGTGTTACACTGATTGTAATAGGTACTGTGCAACATGAGATAACTCAGTCCAAATTAAGTCCAAGCTGCTCCCGACATGAGTACTACAGTTCTGTCTGTGTGTACTGTACTTACTTGCAGCCATTGCAGAGTGCCTGAGATCAGATGACAAATCAGAAGATGCACTAAATCTCATTAGTGAGCATGTGTTTTCTTTTTAAAAGAAACAAAAGCCTATCCTCAAATTCAGCCCCAAAGGATTTACGGGAGTAAATTGGACGCAGGTGGCCCCAAGCAATTGGCATATGGTGCACTGAGCTATCGTGGCCAATGAACACACATTTCCTGCCCCGAGAGAATTGAGGTTGGGCCACGTCAATTGTATTTAAATAAAATCTACAGCAGTGCTCTTAGATTTTCAAACCCATTTCCCCCCTTGATAGCAATGACTCATGTTGGGATTGTGTCCCACGAGTCTACTTGTACCTGAGCCCATTCTCTGCACAGGAAATGAAACAGTACATGCTATTTAGCCGGGGTCACAAGCCATTTGGTCTTACCCTCGTGACATCACATATGCAGAGCTCCCAGCAGGACTCATTGCAAAGCAATCAGTAAATGAGAACATGTATTCTCTCCCTCACTTTATTCTGATCAGTCAAGTAATCGCACAATCCTATTGTTACCGTAGCTGACTCGCCTCAGATTAAAATGGATCCTTGCCAGATTACATGGCTCAATACATCATATCCTACACCCAGACAATTTGGTTTTGTAAATCAAGTTTAAAAAAAACTATGAAAGTTACGAAGAGTTAATCAAGAACCATCACACAAATGTGCTCATTATGAGTATAACTTTATTACTCCAGTTTTACAGCATGGAAAATAGTGTCAAACACTTCTACTGGTTCTATGCTAAGGTTACAACTTTCTCATTAGCTTATTTATCATTTTACTCTCACAAGTGCTACTGCATCACCAACTTTAACATTGATGAAATAAATTGTCCCACCTTTTCCTTTGCGCTCGGTGCAATAATTCATGATCAGAAATGATTTAAAATGAGATCCTTGGTACTTGAGTGGACAATTAACACAACTTCCAGGTGGTTTTATATGGTCAGTTGTGCTAATAATTTCACATGTGGTTTGAGAGGGCTCAAATCTGGTAACACTGAAGTTAGTCTCATAATACACCACTGTTCTCCTTCCAAAACAGCTGAAACATTGAAGAACTCCATCTGAATCCCAGCTGAAGCAAGCACACCTGAATACAACAACAAAAAAATTAATTCATAGTCAATTTGCTTGAAGCAGTTACCGAGTGCATCTTAATGCAAGAGCTACAGTTTTCAAAGTTGGTAATGTACAAGCCAATTTCCACAACAATTTCAGGCTATCAATACTAATTGCTCAGAAAAGAGAAAAGCTTTGACAAAAAGCATTTCAGCACTGTTGCACCATTAGCCATTCTCTACATTTTTTTTTAACATTGTACAGTACTGTAGTTATTTAGCATTAAGAGTGTACTAAGAACTAACCGAATATGGACAAGTTTGTATTTGTAACATGCTAACTTCAGTTCTCATTTATAATTCAAGCGCTCAGAGACTCTACCTTGCGCGAAGGGCACTATAGAAATACATTATCTCAATTCACCAATTTAAAAGCAATTATGCTGGACATCAAAGGACACAAATTTCTTCCTGTGATTGGCAGATTCACTTTAAGTAACTTAGAGCCTTTAAAGAACAGAACCTCTTATTTCTTCATGAGGATATAGGTCTTTAGGTTAGATTACGTTGTCATTGCTAATACACTAGGAATTCCCTTTTTTTCCCCAGTTACATCTGTTGCAAATGCACCAATGTACATACAAATCAATCTTACAATGCCAGACTAGTATTTATCTAGTTTGGTGCAAAATACTGGTCAGCTTTAGACATTTAGTGGATCTATCTTCGCTTCACTCTCCCCGCACCCATCCACTCTCTCAAGGACAGTACCCAATTTTGGCAAAAACAACGATAGTTAAGCCAAATGGCTGGTCATCCAAATGGCCACACTGTGTGTGAGCCTGGACAGTAAGCAGACTGACCACAAGGGAGCGCTATAGCTAAGCCCAGTCACTGCCTGGAGAGGCACGAGTCAGCACACACTGGCCAACAACTGCATCCAGTCCAGGAATGAACTACTTGTTCAGATCCGTTAACAGTGCAGACCAGTGATCAACCCTTTCTTGACTGTATGATTTGCTACTATGCCAACCAAATTTACTCATTGCAAATCTACATTTTAATAGTTTTAGTTTTAACTGCTTTACTGACATGGAAAGGGGAGCGGGCTGGGGGGGGGGGGGGGGGGGGGGGAGCACAAAACGCAAAGCGCAGAGGAAAAAGAAATCTCGATCATCAAACGGAGCCCATCATAGAAGCAGCATTACTATTAATATTGTTATGTACAAACAGGACAAATATGAAGTAAAGTAATTTGTCCTTTGGTAGCCAAATGGGATGTAAAAATTAAAATGGTACGAAAATATTACGACACAAACGTGTGAAAGTATAAAAGAGCCAAAGAGTTTAAATAGAAATAATCGTATCACTTACCCCCAACCGACAGCACCGTTTGAGGATTCGATTCTGCCTTGTAGATCAGCAGGTTTCCCTTCAGCAGCACAGCCTGGGCAAGCCTCGCTCCATCAAGTCCCAGCATCACTGGGACATTCCCTTGTACAGAACCGAGAAGTTTATAGGAGGCACCAGGAGTAGATATCTCCAGGCTCAATGCCCCAGTGGCAGATTCTGGAAAGGAGTCCCTGTGCTGGCTGGTAATCTGTGGAATATACAAATATGTCGAATTTGTTGAAAGTATTTTCAAATAATCTGCCTTCAGAATTTGTGCTGGGATGGATGCAAAAATGAAAATCTTGATCGGTACTGTGAATTAAAGAAGTCCAAACTGTTTTACGCAGCATTCGTAGGCATGTGAAAGAATAAGGCATATTACATCAGTTTTACCCACAAAATTTACAGTCAATTCATTTTACAGAATATTCTATGAAGCGCTTTGAGATGTCTAGAAGACGTGATAAGGCGCTATATAAAATGCAAGGATTATTATTGTTATTATTGTCATCATCATCATCATCATCAGTGACTTTAGCAGACCATAAATTTTTACACATTTTACTTAGGAAGTATTTGTGAGCATCATATATTGGGAGTCTATGATGCACTGATGCCAACATTAATGTTCTGTTCTTGATGTGGTTATAGCAGAAATCTCAATCTAGATACACAATACATTGCTAGAATTAGTGATATGCAACTGACTCTCCCAAATTCACGCTTACAGTCAACATCAACCACCAAGTGAATGATTACAAAGTTGTTCTTTACTCCAATGAATTTCAGAATTGGAACGCTAAGTCGACACAAAAGTAGAGAAACAGTTCACTTACAGACAATCCTGCCTCTTTTCCAAACAGGGGTGCATTGATGAGGTTGACATAGTTCTCAGATGCTCCTTTAAGCAAGCCAACCATCACCGCCGAGGTAAGGTAATTCTTAGCAGTTCTCAAGGATTCACCTATGTGTTTAAAAAATCATAAAATATTAATTAAACGTAAATGGTCTATCATCATGTTATTTTATTAATCATCGAAAAAATAATCCCGTTTCCTGTTTAGGTAAAGGTGCCAAAATCTCAATAGTACGGCTAAGCACCATTATAATTACAAATGTCTTGGATGTGGAAGATTATACAGAGTGGGGAAATATTCTTCAGAATATAACTGCTCAATTTCATAGTTAATATCTACTCCCCAAGTAAAATCTAAAGTCATCTATAAACTTTGCATTAGATCAGAAGTCACTGGGGAACACTCAGCAGGTCAGGCAGCATCTATGGAGAAAGGAAAGTGAGTCAACGTTTCGGGGTCCAAGACCCTTCGTCAGAACTGGAACAAGTTGGGAAGGAGAGGCTTTTAAGGATTAACAGAGGGGCGGGGGGGGAGACAGAGGAGAAAATGGGTTAGAGGACAGGAGCTGATGGGTTAAAGAGGTCTTATGTATTTTGCATTGGATCAACTGGGCATATTTCAATAACATTTTAAGTTACTTACCCAGTGTTGTTACTTTTACCTTCATTTGATCATTGACTTTTCCAGCTAAAGCCTGGCCCATTACACCCAGTGCCTCCCCAAGCTGGATCCAGGGCTTGGTTTCAAGATCCATGGCACTGGTGAGAGCTTGGGCATTGACCTACGATAAAGGGGAGGTAGGAAAGAGTTAAGAATATCTAGTGCTAGAATTGCTATTTGCACATCTGATAACCAGATCATTAAGTTACATAGCGACAATTGAACTACAAAATACAGTGTTCACAAAACTATGAAGTGGATATTATAGCAGTGATGCACAGATCTGGACAGCTCTATGAATGTCAATCATCCAAAAGAATGTTTGCAAGAAACTAATGGATGCCAAGATTAGTACAGTGTTAACACTATTGTCAACCTCATTGTTACTGGACGCAAGATCTATCTCTGGAACAATCTCACCATTTTGCAAATCCCCCCTCCCCCCACCCACACAAAAATAGGATTATTATGTACCGCTCCAACCAGTGCCTTGCCCTTCACCACGTCCACTATTTGATTTGCAATGTCCTCTCCACACCGTCTTTGGGCTTCATGGGTGCTGGCTCCTAGGTGAGGGCAGCTGACCACATTTGGATGGTTCACCAGAGCAGTATTCTTTGGTGGTTCCTGAATTGACACATAAACCACACATGTGTAGAATTAAAAAACAAGTTAAAATCAGAATTGCTAATTGTGTGAATAGCTTAAGCAATTGAAAATGGTATTCATAGAATTCTGCAGCACAGAAGGAGGCCATTTGGCCCATTGAGCCTGTGCCAGCTCTTTTAAAGAGCTATCCAACTAGTCCCACTCCCTCGCTCTTTCCCCGTAACCTTGCAAATGTTTTCTTTATTCTATACTCCATCTTTAAGCAAAGCCCATCAATGCTTCCAGGTTTGGAGTGATGCAACATTACTGCAGTCAGATTTGAAATACATCTCAGCACCAGCAAGCATGAAGTTATTATTTTAATAGGAGAATAGCCAGATTGGTTTCCTCAATCTAACCAAGTCAACCAGAATAGATTATCATCTCTTGATGTCACTAAAATGAGGGGAATACTAAAATATGATTCAGATTCCTAATTTCTACAGTAACTGCGTCAGAATTCACTATGTTGCAGTTTTATCTTCAAGCAACAAATGAAAAGTTGGAAACTAGAGCGTTTTGTAACAAAATATTTGATGCACTTCAAACTGCAACTAGATCAACTTTTAATGATAGTTACAAAACACTGACGCTCTCCATCGATTTGTTCAAGGACTACATTCAAACAAACTAAAACATTATTTGAGCCACTGAATATAATACACTTGTTTACATGGTAAATAGCAGAAGGAGGAGTGAGGTATAGTGCTCTCTGGGGTAACATTACTTGATCTGAATTTGGCGAACGATCATGGTAGCAAAGAGATTTGGAGCATATTCAAAAGTCACTATACTCTATAGCAAATTCTGTCAAGCAATCTAGGTGTGCACTCTCGTGAGGATTGTTTTAGAATTATGAGTGATTTTTGCTAACTCAAAATAGGAGAGAATGGGTTGCATTAAATATTGCAGAATGCTAAATTCAAAATATAGGAGTCACACATACCCTGGCACTACACCTTCCTTCTTTGTGTGCAAAGAAAGCTGAACAAATACAATTTATATACCTCTCCAAATACATCGAGTCCTGCGCCACCACACTGCCCAGACTCCAACGCTTGAAGTAACGCTTCTTCATCGATAATGCCTCCTCGAGCACAGTTAATAACTTTGACGCCTTTTTTACATTTGGCAAAGGATTCAGTGTTCAACAACCCTGAACAAAAAAAAGACACAAAATATCAATCTGGAGTCATTAACAAGCATCATTCTGTCGCACATACACAGACGCACAGGTTTTATAGTCCAATAATCTTTACTTGAATACAATTTGTCATTTACCATAGCATTGATATACAGACTCAAATACTGAGAAGTTCTTTCCCCTTCCTGGGATACAAACTGTAGATCACACAAGGAAGGTTTGGACGAAGACACTTTGGCCAATTTAATTATTTTATCCAGAATATCCATCTTACTGTGTTCCCTTTACGTATTAGCCTTCCTGTTCTCTTATTGACATCATAAGTTAAAAAATAGACCATTCAGAGTCTGTGATGCTGCTCAGTAACAGATTGTTCAAGATTGATTAGAGGAAAGAGAACTTCTAAAAGTCTGGAAATTTATCAAATTTACCAGGGTGCATGTGTAATGGGATTTTCTCCAATTATAAAATGTATACAGTACAACAAAGCTTAGTAAACTATCTCCAGGATAGTTCCTGAAAACATTAACATAGTGCTATTACCATAGAACAGATACAGAGGTCCACAACTTACCACAAAAGGATATCTTTATCAAATACAGCAATGTTCTTTGCTTAATTTAAATGCAGAAATCTAATTCAGGATTATCCCCAAATACATCCAGTACATTTAGGATTCCTTCAAAGCGATTTTGAATCCCTTTTAAATCCATGACGGAAGTGACATACTAAGCATCTACCTACCTTTAGTAGCTGGCACTAGAGGAGTGTGGACAGTGATGAAGTCACACAGTGGCCAGAGCTGTGGCAGTGACATGAAGTCGACTCCAAAAGTGGCTGCCACCTCAGCAGGAACTATAGGATCATAACCGATGGTCTGAAACAACAAGTATTAACACTGTATTGGTGCTCAATTCATTCTCACAATAAAAAGGTACAGATACCAATTGATCCACTAATTAATTGGAACCATCATGATTTGCTTTAGGGTCCCATAGACTGGTCAGTGTAAAGCACTTTTCATTCAGGTCTCAATAGGAGACCTTCAGGACAATTTATGGCAAAAAAACTCTTCGGGGGAAAGAAATATCCTTTGTAAGCAAACTCTCAACAGGAGCTTTTAAATCAACAAGAAAAAAGACTGAAATACTAGTTAACAAGGAAAGTATAAAACAATGGCTAACAGTACGAAAAAATTTGTTAAACAATTTGAAGACGCTCATCTCGAAGACATGATAAGGCGCTAAATCAAATGCAAAGATTATTAATATAATAAAAGGGAAGAGAAGACCATGCAAACCGATACCTGTATACACAACTCCTCTATGTAATAGGAAGGGCACACCATTCAATTGAAACTTTCCGAATGCACCAATGTCAATATACCTCAAAAGCTAAAACTGAACCTAAATGCCAAAAACATAAAATCTAATACTTCCCACCACCAGTTCTCAGTCCTGATGAATAGCACACCAGAGTCTGGCATGCAGAAAAACAAAGAACACACTGTGAACAGCTTATCTGCTACTTACAGAGGAATGCAAGCAACCGGAGCCATTCAGTAAGCTAACGTTCAAAAGCCAGCAAAATGTTTCTAACTCCACACATTCTTCAATATTTGCAGTTTAAACCAGCATTTGAATTGACCAATTAATCTTACTACAATATTTCCAGGATATGATAGTCTGTGAGTGCAGTGCATAAGACAAAGTCAACACGATACTTCACTTTGCAGATAACAATCCTCTGAATGATTCAACTAGAGTTGTTCTAACCTCCTAATATTGCACCGTACGGTATTTAATAGCTACAATTAACATTAAGTACGATTTATTTTACTTTACTTTCAGTAACGTGTTAGTCACAGTTTGCTGAGAGGCTTTATGGCATACTAGATTTCAGTTTGGGATGGAGTACTATTATAATAGCCAGATTTGCTTGGGAAATCAGAATAAATTATCATTTTTAATGTTAGCCAGCGAAACAGCAAACTTATAAAGTCAACCTTTTAAGATTACAGTAGTTGTTATTGTTGCTTAGTAATGAATAGCACTAATGTATACACATTTTGGCTCATATTAAAACAGTATATCGTAAAGAAAACAGTTGTATTTTGCTGGTTAACACTGGAGCTATTCATTGGAACCATATTTCAAGTAAATACGATTTCAGAGACAATTTGTTTTAATGTTGTTGAGCAGCGATGTCATGTGATAACTTGGTTACTTAAACGATACCAAGTTCTAGCTCAACAGCCTGGAGGATTTAGCAACAGAAATAAAAGGTCTGCTGTGTAGATTTGCTTAAAAAGCTGTGGGTATAATTACTACAATACTGGGAGGGGAAAATGGGAGTCACAAGTCCAGTTATTTTGAGTTAATAGATTTATGAACCATTTAATCAATTGTCAAGCTGAACAGAGTCCACAAATTGAAGCTAGAAATGTAGAGGACGGAAAAAGGTCTATGTTCTGACTGGTGGCACAGAAGGGAGCAGGTAAACCAGTGGTATAACTGAAGGGTTACAGCCAAACCATCTTCCTCTACACATGTTGATTGAAAGATCAGCTCATCCAATTCTAGTTCCATTTTGGACGACACAATTTTAAAGCTTAGATTGTGCCTTGGGATGTCCTCCCAACGTGAAAGGCCCTGTAGAAAGTGTAAATCTGTTGTGGATTGGCTAAACCAAATTCAGAACAAGTTTAAACCCAGGACCATCAGGAACCTGACCTCTTGAATTATCACACTGAAATAAAACAAGTAAAGTCACAGTTGTTTGGAAAGCACTGTATGATGTACTAACCTTGAAAGATAGCAGAGCTACTGGTCTGAGAACATGTTGATATTCTCACTTTAATATGTTAGAATCACTGCTCCAATAGAGATTCACCCCCACCCCCCGATTGGCATTCCAGCAATAGTTGTGGGAAGCAAATTTATTCTTTCCAACAGCAAAAGATTTTATTTTCCTTTTCAAATAAAAAGAAAATAAAAGAAAAAGAAAAATCATTTTTACCTTTACCAACTTGGGCTCGGGTTGTATTCATATTTAACTCTGACTGCTAGACATCTTGTGGACTTTTCTCAGTCCTGGTTAATAATCCTCCAGAATAAATAGCCAATCACCTCATAATTGTTTGTGATATGGCTGGATTACAAACCAGACTCTGAAATTGACCGTAAATTACATGTGAAACATTTTGAGATAGATGTAAGGCACGATTAAAGTCAAGTTCATTTTAGCCCCAAACTTCACATTTTAAAGCTTTTACATTAATCACCAAAGAGCAGAATTACCTTCATCCCGAATGACTGCATTCTCGTCGCTACCTCTTTGCCAATTCTTCCAAGTCCTACGATTCCAAGAGTTTTCCCGAAGAGCTCCACACCCATGAACTGGAATCAAATGAAGATCATGATCTGGTCAGATTCCAGCTTGTTAAAAATTTAAGAAAGGAGTGTAAGGTGGGGGTAAGATAGCCCACTTAATTTGTGTCATTCATGTTTCTACCAATTTTCTTCCAGCCTGAAGACGCTGTAGTATGATTTTGTAGATACAAGATGTTCTCTAGTTTCTTTCCCAGGGGCCATTCTTCATACAATGTGATCAGAAGTAGATTGCTTAAATTTAGTAAGGACTTATGCTCGTCATCTAGTGTCAGGCTGTCCTACAGATTGACTCTTGATTATAAATTGGCTGTTTCGATCAGGAGAAGGGTTGCTTATGCTTGATAATCAATATCAAAATGACTTGTAGAACCATAAGCCTAAATAAACAGCTGAATTGAGGAATTTATATTTAAAGTGACATATGTTACGAGATAGATTGCATGACTCTAGATACAATGTTATGGGAAAGTGTCAGTATCTCATTGGCTTGAAGGTTTAAATTGGTTCAAAAGAAAGAAGTAGATTTAGCACAGCTGTAGCTCTCGCTGATTGTTGATGAAGCGATCTTGCATTGTTTTAATTAGAGTCAGCCCGTGCGTAGCCAAAGACAGACCCAGTCTGTTCAAACAACTATCAGGTGCCTGAGAACATGGAGATTTGCACAGGCCATCTTGGTGTTTAAACAAACAAAGATTAAAAAAAGGACCTTGAAATAGCTAAGCTGTGCTTTGTTCAGTCTGAGTTGGCTATCTCAAGCGTTTGAGTTGATGAGAGTGACTATGTTTTCTGCTCCTCCAGAAAGCCAGAACTTCTACCCAAGGTTCTGTGACTCAAGCCACTTGACCTCGACTGTTCAAAGTTCTAACAACATGGGAAGAAGACTGTAGTGATACGAGAATACAGCTACAACATAACTGCGAGAGATTCAACACCTGCTATTATCAGCGCTTCAGGGACACAAGAAGCTAAAGATGTTCACCTACTGGCTATGTACATTGATATTGTTCATTACAGTGACGTGGTTTGACTTAATGAGAATGACTACGTTTTCTGCTGCTCCAGGAAGACTTAACAGCCAATATTATCTGTTGAAATCCTGACTACCTTAACTACGTTGATCGAACCTATGCGAAATTGTACACATTTACAACCTTATTTAAGTTAAACCGTTGAATGTAAAATTCAAGCGACTTTGGTTCTTCTGTTGGGTTGCACCTTGCAACCCAACAACATGAAGCAAGAGCAAGTTTCAACAGTAAATCAGACCATGGAAGACCACAACCAAAGCCTCTTTTCATTCTCTGGCATCCACACATACAACGTTTCAAGAGGGAGCACCTTGGTTAGCCTTAGGTCAACTATGGCTCCACAAGACTCTATGCATTTCATATACCCATTGAATCATATGATATTTGGTTTTATTGCTAATCCTGGCAACAACTCAATCAAATCTCATCTAATCTGACAGCAAGTGTCAGACAAAACAGTTAAGAATTAGAGACTTTGTTAGTAGATTAGCAATTAGCAAACAGCAAAAAAAAAATTCAGAATTTGTCAAGTATTTGGGACCATTCAAAATCTTATTCCTCTCACCTTCTTTCTATCCCATTTTCCAGCTCTCATGGAGGCAGTTCCTTGTGGAATTTGTCTGAAACAAATTAAAAGCTTATTTGACAGTTTTCACAGGAAAACAAACACAGAACCGAGCAATATAAGTCTTTAGTAAAATCAAACGGTAGTCAACAGCCAAACTCAACATGTGACAGTAGTTGAATCAAGCAGACAAAGATATGTGTTACAAAGATTAGAATTATCCATCCGCTCAAATATTTGTGCATCATTTTAAAAAGTAGAATTTCACAGAACTGTTTACTATGCTTTATGTTAAACTAGGAGCAGGACTGCCTTTTTGATTGCCTTTTGCACATACCCTTCAGGTGACTACATCAGGGCTCCAAAGACTTAGGAGTTATTTCAGAATAAGATTTGTCAATCGATGGAGGTGATGCACTTAACTTGTGAAAAAGATTACATAATCATCTAATCTTTTTTATAGGTGGTCATTTACATAATGAAGAGCACCCATGTGCATAAAATAGCAGAATCCACACCAAAATGAGAATTAAATTAGATAAGGAAATACGTCACTAGTTGCTGCTTTTCCCCACACATTACAATTTACAGGATTGCTTTCATTGTATTTAGTAATGAATACTGCCAGAATGGCACCCACATATGCAAAATTAAGTTTAAAAAAAAGTGTTCCGCGAAGCTTTCGTCTCAAGTCACCACATCGACAAATGTTAAAAGGTGATGGGTTGTAACAGCTTACCTGGCCAGGCACAGAATCATTGCACAAGTCAGCTCAGCTGCACTGAGTGTGTTCCCATTTGGTGTGCTTTGAAGATGAAAAAAAAAATCACGATTAATATTCAATTTAGTTGTTAGCCTATTACTTTAGTAACCGGTTTATACCAAAACCACAAGATGCCTTAATACATTTGGAAAATGCTGTAGTAAATCAAGCTTTCTCTAGTTCTGTGTCATTAACGGCATTTATATGGAAAAGTAGCATTACACAGCACCCACCCACCCACAGTGCTCTCAAACAAATTCCTTTATGAAAGACAATTTACATAGCCCGTCTGAAAACAATCACAAATCAGTTATTCTTACTTCATAACAATGATGCCATTCCTTGTTGATGCATTAACATCCACATTATCGACACCAACTCCAGCTCTGCCAATTATCTTCAGATTTTTTGCAGCGTTAATCACATCAGCAGTAACTTTTGTTCCAGAACGCACGATAAGTCCATCATAGTCCTGGCAATAAAACATTAATTACTCTGAGCATACCATCAGCAATGTCAAATGTTTTACACCAGTGGTCAAATCTTCCTCAGGATTCTTATCAAATTATATTAGGATAAAAAAAATAATTTGAGATGGGTAAACAGAATTTTAAATCAGATATTTTCATTCTTTTACAACCCATTTAATATAAAATATTTCAACAATAGAATCACTATATTTGTTAACACTAGGAACTGGGCTGTAAAGTGACATGATGGTGCAATGCACCATTGTTTCAACATATTTTTCACCACTTTTATTCCTATCTCTTAATGTCCAAATTCACATCAAAACAGCATTAATTGTTAACCGTCTCACGATTGCTTGTGAGAACGCTGTCAGATTGGCTGCCGCTCTTGCATCAACTTCATTTCTAATTCAAGACACACAGTAAGGCCTTTTAATTTAGATGAAAGGAGCTGTATAAACACTGGTTCTTATTCCAGGAAATGGTCGAACTGTGGCATTTTCTCACAGGGAGAGCAGTGGTAAATTGGCAAATCAGATTTGTTTGCACATTTAAAAGTCAGATTCAACACAACACAGTCGCAATAAGGTCGCAATAAGCAATAAGGTTGCTTGTCCACCAATGTGTATTATACATTAATCTATAGTTGCAGATAAAGAGTAAGATAAGGAGGACATTCTTCTCAATAGAGAAAAGTAAATTAAGCATTGCAGAGACAGATCACGGGATTGGCACCAGTCCAGCTTTTATCAATACACTGGGAACAAATGTAAAAAGTTATTCAAAATGCAATATTTAGCAAACTGCTCACTGGAAAGTTTGTGAGAAACTCTAACATCAAAACAGATGGCTAGTAATTATTTCAACGATCTGAAACAAAAGAAAATGTGGTCGAAGAATGTTGATCACGTCTTCTCGACGTCTCAAAGGGCTTCACAGAATATTCTGTGAAGTGAATTGACCGTATATTTGTAGGCAAAACACGGCAGCCAATTGCGAACAGCAGCGTCCCACAAACCGCCGCGGATAGAGTGACCAAATTATTATTTTTTTTCTCTTGAGGGATTATTATCAGGCGTGTGGAGTAAGGAAACTTACCCAAGACTATGTATGATACACACCCCAAAGGTATACAGAATATACTGTAAAGTGAATTAACTGTACATTTTGTACAGCTCAACGACTTGCTGTGGCTGTGGATAATCTTTTCCAACAGCAGCACATTTTGTACTGTATTGTGTCGTGTTGTATTACACTGGAATCCAACCTCTTCTATTCACTGCCAATTGTGTGAAATCGTTCAGAGTTCCTCCAAAACTCAACGTGCTGTTGCATCAGACAGAGCAATGGGAGTAAGATGCAAATCTGCGCGTGAAGCCGAAAGAAAGGTGAATACTGATGCAAAGATTGTTTAACGAACGTCTTCTTGGCATGTTCTGACCCTATGTGCAAATCTTACGACAAGTCGAGCTGCTTGAGCCCTGTTCTCTGCATCACACAAACAAAGCAGGAAGAAAGCAAACTGCATTTAACTCTCCCTCCTCTCCCATATCCACCCTGACCTTAATGCAAAAAAAAAGCTAACAGTGGGAAAAGGAAATGGAATTACATGTTATATCATAAACTATGATAAATGTTGGGAACTGGACAAACTGAAAGGAAGGCGCAACATGTTCTGATAGTCACAACTGGATGGAACAGGACAAACTAAAGCCACGCAAAACGATCCAGAAAACTTAAGATCTGGCACAGGAGACTGGGATTGCAGTGAGGAACTCGCAACCAATATTGTACCTTAATTTCAGCCAGCAGCTCATTCTTGGCCATTTGATTCCTTGCCACCACTTCTATACCATTCTGCTCCAAGATGTTCTTGCAAACTGCGTCCACAGTCTCACTGATGAGGATCTTGTGGATTGCTAAGGCCATTTTTCTCTCCTTTGTTGTGGCTTGGCTTCAGGGAAGCTGTTTTCCTTAACTTGGGAGTTCCAGGCAGCAGCAGCACTGAGTGCTTCCTCACCAGAGTGGTGGCTTAAGAGCATTTTTTTTGGGTCCAGATTAGCATAACCCCGCCCTTGGCACGGTTTGAGACTCGGAAGTTTGCCGAGCATTTCTTCCAAAAAGTAATAATCATCATCCTTGCGTTTGATACAGCGCCTTATCGCATCGTTGCGACGTCTCAAAGCGCTTCGCACGATATACTGTAAAGCGAATTGACTGCGTTTTGTGGGCGAAACGCGAAATAGCACAAATGAGCCTGTTTTTCAAATGCAAGTTGTGAGAAGCGATTTAACATTTAAACAGTGTCACAGGTAATTGCGGCTCCGTCGATAACGGGTGTCTCCAGGTGGTAAAGTATCTTAACACACTAATTTAAGACCGATTTGTTTTTGAGGCAGTGAAATGCCGATTATGAAATGCTATGGAAAAGAAGCCCATTTACAGAGAAGGCCAATATATATTTATTTGTGTGCAATGAGTAGTAATTAAGACATCAAACTCGCCGACGACTGCCTCTCTTACTGTGATCAGGGTTCCCTCTCTCCCCTAGTTTTCTCTGCTGCCTTCGAGTCGATCATGTCATCTTCCTTCAATGTTTTTTCCTCCTCCCACCCCTGGCATACCTAAGGCTCCAGCCTTGTCCCCTCATTTGCATACTCCCCCCGGTAATGTCACCCATGGGGTCAACTTCCATATGTACGTGGACAACCAAATCTACAACACCCACCCCATCCACCTTGTTACTTAAGAACAATCTGATCTTCCGAGGGGCAAGCGGTTTTACTTATTCCAATGCTTGATTACATTGCTGTCCAGAAGGCAAACTTTCTTAGCGATAAAGCAATATTTTATTAGAAAAAAATTCCAGTCACCAATTTTATTCCATAACATGAAACTGCAAACAAATCACCAATCGTACAATCTGTAATAGACATTTAGCCTTGACACTAAGTAAATGAAAATCCATCTGCACAATATTATTTATTAATTCAATGTTTCCTTCAGCAATTTGATTCCCTGAAATCCAGTGTATACGTACAGCATTTTTAAATAAAGGTTGTATAAAGGTATACCTTCATATGAACATCAAGTTTTTTTAAAAAGGTACGGTACTTTCAATAAAGGTAGTTATTGGTAAAACAGAACTTGACAAATAATTTATTGACAATTTGATTTGATAAGAAATAACACTGAAATAGAATCTTGCACACAATCTACAAAGTTCATTTAAGTATTTGCATACTTTCTCAAATGAGATAAGATTTCTTCACCCGAGGACCACACAATAACAGACGGCTGTATAGAATCAATATCTTCAGATACCATTTTGTGAAGTTGTTTTTCTAACCTGTAGCCTTTTCTGGGCATAACAATGTCAAAAGTCTTCAAGCCTACAGTGGGACATACATCATTCCCCCCATCACCAATGTATATGGTTCTGCTGTATCGTACTCCTGCTTTAAATTGATCATCAACAAAGTCTAACAACACNTTTTTCTTACACAGATTATCGGGACATTGTGAACAATCATGAGAATGAAAACTCTGCAGTGTGAGATGCCCTTGGTCATCAAAACCTGCTGGGTTTGAAAATATTCTATTGAATGATACACCGCTCTCTGTCGCTTTTAAGATCCAATCGATAAAAACAGTATTGGAATCAGAAATGATGATACAGTCAAAGAAATCCTTGTTTTGACAAATGAATTGCAGGAGATTAACCATTCCTGGAGTGTAAGGAATAGCTTCCATGACTTGTTTCATTTTGGATTCATTGATTCCTTGGGCTCCAATGTAACCCAGAACTCTTCCCATGTATTCATTCCAGCCTTTTCCTTGATACGACTTGCGAAGCCAGTGCGGAAGTTTATTTTCAGGTGTGCATCTCACAACCCACGTGTCACTGTTCTCATCTATAATCGTGTGGTCAAAATCAAAGACAAGTAAAGTCTTCATTCTGCACACATTTTATCCTGTTTTTACAAAACAAAAGTGGATAGTTTAAAACGTTTAAAATCTGATTACTTTGATTACCAAACAAGCACACAGAAACAGGTCAACTTAATTCCATAACGTTTAAATGTTAAAATATTATTGTTAAAAAAAACATTTGTTACATGTGGACTTTCATCAAACCCCTTTTGAAAATGAAGGTAATATCTGCCGAGTAGCTCTCATCATTATTTGCTAACATGTAAAGCCTGATCTATCACCTCTAATTCCATGTTAACAATTTAATCTAGTATAATAACGGGTACGGTATCAGGTTGTGGGAAGCCCTGATCAAAATGGAATAGGGGAGGGGGAGTGGTTGAGCCAGAAGGATGGCAGACAATAATTCCAATTGCAACAAATGCATTAATGGGCCCATGAGGCTGACAGAACATACCTGACTTGCAGGACTGAGTATAAGGCCTGACCTCAGGATGGGTAGTTGTACAGCATGACCTACCACTATAGTACTATAGGACACCTCCCTAGTGTAATAATCAAGGAACCCTTCAGATGTCAGTCTGGTTCAGCACTGTCGCCACTGAGTCAGAAGGTTCCAGGTTCAAACCCAAGTCAGGACCTTAAACTCATAGTAATTTGGTCACTTCAATCCACAACTGTTTGTGGGACACTGCCGTGTGCAATTGGCTGCCGCGTTTTTCGCCCATCAAATATACAGTCAATTCACTTTACAGTCTATTCTGTGAAGCGCTTTGAGACATCTAGAAGACATGAAAAGCATTAGATCAAAATACAAGGATTATTATTATAGTCCACAATAACACTCGTGGCATGCTGGAGCGTGGCATTGTCACAGCTGATGTCCTTCCGATGAGATGTTAAGAATGAGGTCCTACACAATTTCCCACCCACACCACAACTTAAAATGGTTGTCTTCCGCTCTCCTCCCAAATTGGCTCCATTCCCACCGCCAAGAATGAACCAGATTTGTACATCATGTACCCTGCATACCTCCATCAACTCTCTATGAAGAGCTTCCTTGCATGTAACACGTGAAAGACAAGAGGCAGCAAACACACAGAAATAACTTGTTTTCCAATGCAGGATTCAGCGTGTGAGGGGGTTAAATAAAGAGATTTTCATTTAGCAGTTATGGGAAATGTCCGGTATCCTGGCAACGTTCAGGACTGAACATGCTTATGTCTTCGAGCGAGTCATAGCTTCGAAGTGTTCGTAACTACACTCGAGACAGTCATCGAGCCAATGTCTACGCTGCTTCAATACAGCTTCCCCCAAAGAGCAGAATAACATTTCACAAATCTGGATGTTCATGTGATGGTACACATTTTCTAATCTGTTAAGTCCAGGGAGGCTGAGGAGGGGAATGGGTCTCCCATATTGTGTGGGTAAATACAACAGAATAAACTTTTCTCTTAAAAAGTCAAGATTTCCTCATTCTGGTTTCATTTTCAGAAAATAAATTACTGACCTGCCAGGAAAACCTCACCATTCTTTTCTTCTAAAAAAAAAAGAAAAACCACCAAAAAAAACAGAGCACAAACTTCTGAGGCAGAGTATACTGAGCGACTCGAAAAGGTCACCGGGAAAGGTGGTCCCACCCGAGCGGCACCGGCCTCCTGCTCGTCCCTCGCACGCTCCGCCCCACCATCGGCGGTCGCGTCTTCAGCCACTACGCCCCGAAACTCTGCAACACTCTCTCTCAATCCCTCCGCCTTTCCCCCCTCCCCCCCCCCCCCCATCTCCCCCTTTTTCGAGTCCCGCCTGAAAACCTTCCTCTTCGACCGTGCTTAGGACCACCTCCACCCCCCTGCGTGCAAGTTGTTGTTGCGGTACAGAATAGAGGTCAGGGCACTGGGACTCATTTTAAACGCAGTTTGCTGCAATGGAGAGGGGGGGCGGCGGGGGGTGGGTGGGGGGGGGGGTTGACAGGGGGATACAGTGGGGTGGGAATGTTCTGGAGTAGGGGTATCAAACTCATTGGGCCTCAGTGGTCATTTAAGTTAACACTGTTTACTTGGGCCACACCGTAAAAAAAAGGCAAAGACATAACCCTTTGCAATACACAAATGTGAGCTGTCATTGGCTTCGTGGGAATGTCATGACCGTGAGTCAGGCAGAATGCACAGGTTTGACTGTCGGGGCTTATTTTAAAGAACGATCGCACCACAGCCATGTGATTCTCAGCAGCCAATGGGCAGGCCCGCCAGACATCACCCCCAGCGGGCCGGCACCGGCCCGCGGGCCGCGTGTTGGTCGCTCCCGTCCCGGCGGGATGAGCTGGGGGTGGCCTCCTCCATCCGGAGGCCTTGGCCTGGTGGGATCCGGCGAAAGGAAAGCCTTTTGGGGAAGGCCCGGGGCCTGAGGTGACCCACTGCTTCCCGCTGGAGCACGAACCCCTCCCTGTACAGTGTCGCGCCAGTGGAACAGGAGAGGGAGAGACAAACCTGAGGCGGGAACCCCTCGAGCCGTCGGCGACAGGTCACCGGGGGGGGGGGGACACGGAGACCGTCTGCGGCTGCGCGCTCAGCGCGACACGTCACAAAGGCCGAGTTGGGGGGAGGGGAGGGGAGGTGCCGACCACGCCCTCAGCCACCCCGTTGCCGAGGTTACAAGAGATGACAGACAGGCCGCGGGGGACACGCCCTCCCTCCCTGCCCAGCCCGCACCCCCCGCGGCCGTTGCCTGGTGACCGTTACCAAGGAAACCAAGCGGGGCCGATGGACGCGAGGCCTCGAGTCGCCGCCATTTCGCACACGTGAGAAGATTGCGGCATTTACCCCCTCCCCACCACCCCACACACCCCCTCTCTCTCTCTCTCTCCCAAGCGCCATGGCCGCCTCTGCCCCCTCCCTGAGAAGGAAATGTCTGAGCACATATATCAATGGTGAGTTCCCCCCTTCCCCCCCCCCCCCCACACACACATCAATGCAAACTGTTTGGGGGCTTGTGTTGGGCAAACAGTAATTTGGGGGGGGGGGGGGGGGGTATGGGGTAATAATTCTTTCAAAAAATATATAAGGATTTGGCCCCCACCGTCTGTGGGACGCGGTCTCGATTCGCCTATATTTTCCGCGAAGCGCCTTTGAGACGTCTCGGAAGACGGGACCGGGCGCTCGCGCTCCCCGGTTGCACGTATCACTGTTGTTAATAATTACCGTTTAACCTTTCGGTCATTCACGATGACCGAATGCGGTCACTCCACTTCACGGTAGTCTGTGAAGCGCTTTGGGACGTCGCGACCACGTGATGAGGCGCTGTGTCAGATGTAAGGATTGTTGTTATTATTATTACTACTTCGATGATTATTCACTCCGAGACGCGATCCTGCGTGAGGGGCACAATATAAATACAACTGGTTGTTGTTTAACTGTATCTGCAATACCGACCTACAAACACCAGTAGACACACGGGATAGTTAAACCAGTTTTGTAATACTTTTTAGACAATGTAGAAATACAGGATTACTGTATAGGTTATAGATTTAACAAAATCTCTAGTTCATTGTAGTTAGTATAATTTATGGTAACTACTAAGGCATATATAGACTTTCAAGTTAGATTTGAAATCCTTACCATCACTTGGCACTTTTAACATATTCACCAACTTGTTAAGATGAATTTCACACAATTGTGCTTGATTAAATAGCACATGCAGGTTTATTTCTACTTAGCGAGATAGTAAATTTGATTATTCTAATGTTTTGTGTTTATATTTACAGTGATTGAGGATGATGAAGGAACTTCAAAAAGATGTGAAGCTTTTTGCCCTAAAACAGTCTACGGTAAGGGACACATCATTTAGATGTTGTCATTATTGCACTATAAATAAATGCAATTTTGGCAACCAACAGTATCAGCACAGCTGACGCATTCTCTGTAGGAATTAAAAGAAACATGGGAAAAGACATCTGAAATGTCTAATCCATTGTGGACAGATTAAAGCAGTCAACAACAACAAGATTACATTTGTATAGGACCTTTCACGTCGGGAGGACGTCCCAAGGCGCTGGACAGTGACAGCATTTCAGACCCGAGCTGGGGTCGGGGTGGGGTGGGAAGGGAAGGGAGGGGGGTGGCCGACGGAATGGTTGAAGAGGAGGATTTTGAGGCAGGACTTGAAGGAGGCTAAGGAGTGGGCGAGGCGGAGTGATTGGGGGATGGAATTCCAGAGGTTGGGGGGCAGAGTGGCTGAAGGCTCTCTCGCCAATGGTGGGGCGGGTGGGTCAGGGTAGTGGAGCAGGCCGGGGCCGGCTGAGCGGAGGGAACGGGCGGGTTGGTGGGGGCTTAGGAGGTCGCAGTTGTTAATGATTTTGTCTGTAACACAAATGAATATGGAGAGTGGTTGTATATAAGCAGAAATGCAGACTACACAACAAAATAGACATATTGAAGAATGATGGAAGGTTTTGATGTACAAAAGCCTATATTTATTATTTTTCTGTCAATACACAATATTTTTCTTTGTAGTGCTTGGTATCACAGGTGATAGTAATTGACATTTTCTGAAATTTAGAACAAGTCTGTGAAGAACCAGTTGCTCCTAATAGGGGAATAAATTTTCCAAGTCTAGTCGACCTACGACAAGTAACAATACTGCCAAAGGCTGAATGGCAACGTATTGAGGACGTGGTGAGTGGTGTAGATTGTGAAGCAGAGTTTAACCGGGCCCAAAGAGAGGAACGAGAAGAATTACACAAACGATCCAAAGAAGTGATCAAACACTGGTCAAATACCATTGCAGTAAGTACAAAACAATATACTTTATCTTGCCTTTCATGTTCAGAGGAGCAGTGACATATCCTGTGCTTGCTATCATTATGTATTATTAATAGCCTTGAATCATCTCATTATATTCATATAATAGTATTTTATAAATAGAAAACGACCCGGTGAGTACAAACGTAGGCTGTTGGCAACACATAACGTTCTGCACATAACGTATCTTATTCCAAGCTATAATTCCAATTGTTAGCTCATAATGTTTTATATCTCTCTTTCCAGTAGTAGCTGTATATATTTGGGCGCTCATTGGGGAGGAGCAGATTAGTAATAGTGTGGCATTTGAAGTGCTGTTTTGCCTCCTTACGGTCATGAGTATATTTCTGGATTTTTCAAAAAAACGTGCAGTGAACAGAAGCTAAACCTTTGCAGTGTTATTATTTCTTTTTTTTTCCACATGTGCTGATTCAATGTAGGGAAGGAATGACCTTTAATTTCCTTACCATGTTAATCATAAGATCTTGTGTTAACAATATTGAAGAATCAGATTTGAAACCTGTGCAAAACAAATGACCAGGATACTTTATTTTCTAGGGTCATAGACAAAAAAAACTTGCAGCCAGAAAAATTCGTGAAGAAAAGGAGGAAGAGGAGAGAGTACGGGTAGACATAGAGGAAGCAAAGTACATGGCTCAGAAAAGAAAACAAGAAATTGAAAGAGCCAAAGTCATGTACTACCACCAGACTGACCGAGTGAAACAATTTCATGTACAGTAGTAACTTTATATAGTTATGTCAACAGTTAATTAACTATCAAAACAAAAATTTTGTACTTACCGGGTCATTTTCTTTTTATAAAATACTATTATATAAATATAGCAAGGTGATACAAAATGTTACTATTTCTGTTCATTTAAAGATAATGAGGATGGCTTGTGATGTGTAACAATGGTAAGAGTCTTAGATTTTATTGCTTCACAACAGCATAACATAATCCCATCATACTCTACAAGTTTCTATAAATTATTTCTCTCATGAGGCTGTCTGCAAGTTTACTTCTCGCAGAAAATACTTCTATATTACAATTCCTATGAACTCTCATTCATAATGTGACAATATTAATGCTGTTACTCAATTAATATTGGTCCATTAATGAATAACATCCATTCCAACCTGTCAAAAATGTGCTGTTTTTACTTCCCACAACTAGTTTTAGGTTTTCTTTTCCAATTCACAATCAATAACCTCAGTAAATATGTAATTTTCACAGACAGCAAGAGTGATTGTGGGCTAATTAGATAGATTGAAGATTGGCTTCAATCATAAATTGTCTTTTAAGGTGTTAGATGCATCATGTTACTTCATAGGAAATAGTATTTTAATAACGCCAGGACAAGGTGCTGAGGTGAATCTAAGAGCTTGAGTTGGTTAGAACCTGATGCCAAGTCATTCTTTGCTGCTTTCTCTATGATGTAATAAATTCTCCAGTTAGTTTGTTTCTGTCTTTGTTCTTGCCTGGAGAATAATGCATGGGACAAGTTTAAAAAACAATATTGAAAAATATACAAGCTTACTGATGTTGAAACAGTAATTATCGGAATTTTACTAGTGTGTAGAAACAACTTTATCACTGTACATCAAAACCGTCCATCATTCTTCAATATGTCTATTTTGTTTTGTGTAGTCTGCATTTCTGCTTACTGAAGTGATGAAAGAACGAGAAGCCCAGATTGATCTCAAACGGAAAAAGCTTAATATTCTTAAAGGGCAAGAGAGAGTCGCAGTGGAGGAAATGCATCGAATGCTGGAAAAAGGTGCTTATAATGAACAGGAAAAAATGGAAAAACAAATGGAAGCGAGGAAGGGTCTTGCTGATTTCCATCTAGAACAGTAAGTGTAATTTTGTAATAGCTTTCAGGGGACCTAGAGGGGTGATAATCAACCAACTCTTTTGGTTTAAAGAAATGAAGAGCGAATGTAAGGTGACTTTCATTCAAAATTTCAGTTCAGAAAGAGTGTAATTTCCCCTGTTTTACATAATTCATGAATGTCATGAAAATGGTAAACACCAAGTGTGGGTAAGGAGAAGCAGTAATACATGCGACAAATCAGGAGAGTAACCCAGAGATTAGATGTACCTATGTTCTGAAATTAAGGCAAAGTTATCGCAATTTACAAAAAGCAGTTGTGTGAAAAACAAAGTAATGGTAGTAGGAGATTGGTTCATCAGAAAAATTCCCAGGAAACTTTTGATCATGCATCAATTGTGAACATCAGATCAAAAAAAGCACGATCAGAAGTTTTTTTAGGATTGAAACTAATCTCTCTCATGGATTAAACTAATCTTCCTCTCAAACAGTACACTAAAATCCATTCCAACAATAACCAAATGTTTAACAGTGTGAACTGTGATCACTGTAAAAGGGCAGTATATTGATATCAAGTTCCCACAATCTTTTATCATCAATATCTTTTGTGGCAGGATTTCTGAAAATACTGTTTATGTATCCGGTGACTTCTTAAAAAAAAAATCTGTTCACTGCTTCCTATTTTTGATATTAGGATAAGGGAACATGACAATGAAAAACAGCAGGATAGAAAAGAAAATATAATGGAAGGAGAAGAAATCAAGAAATTAGCACGTTTACATGAATGGGAACGTGATAAACTTGAAGCACTAAAGAAGCAAGAAAAATATAATAATATGGTCTCTCATTTGGTAGGTATATCACTGTATTTTCAACCTAAATACGAAGCTATTAAACTTCAGTACCAGAGGAGATGAACCATTATAATCATTACCCTTGTTAAGATCAGCTAAGAGCACAGCATCTTTTTACCCTCTTTCCCATTCTCTGGTGGTTGAATTGAAAATGCTCACTAAATAATAGTTGCTTTTATTGTAATGAAGATAATATATTGTTTTCTCTCCTTAACCTGCTTTGTTTTAAAAACTTTGATCTGCAGCTGCTGATAATGTTTTTTAAAAAAAACTTCATCATAGTCTTCAGAAATACTAATAAAATATGCAAACAGATTAAAGTATGATACTTCATAATAGACAATAAAAAGTAATCGCTAATGGTAACTGTAAGGAACCAATACTTCTGCCTATATCTTTAAAAATGTTGCTCACCAGAATTTCAGGTTTTGTGGTTAAGGAAACAATATTTGGAGTTCTAAGGTATAAATATGGGCTTAGGTATAAATGTATCAATTATTCACTTCCTAGAGGTAGAGGCAGAAATTTCTTTGAAATATTGTGTATAGATTAAATTACTGAGCAAACTTGTTGGAATTTTGGAAATCAACAACTGAATGAATCAATTTAAAAGAAATTAAGATACTGAAAGAAATAAACTATAAACTGCAAATGTACATTGTTTAATTTTCAGGCACACCTTGAAAACATGAATATATTCAAAACAATACAGAAGCAGAAGGAATTAGATAAAGATGAAGAGATCAGGGCATTTGTTTCAGCAAAACAAAAAATGTTGAAATATAGGAAAAAAAAGCAAGCAGAAGATAACAAGTAAGGAATTGTTGGAATAACAACAGAGCAATGTGTTCAAAATGAATCACCGAGTATTGGCTGGTAATATGTACAGATACTATATAATAAGCAATATGCAGCTCAGAAGAATAAAGTTACACCATCTCAAAAGTACATCTTATCCTAAACTTTAAATCTATCTCACTGGACTATTGTAATATTTCTGTCCAATTCTGGATGCTATTTTACAGTAATGATTTTTTGGAATTGGAGAGGATACAACAAGGGGCAACTAGACTTATAGTTTGAATCAGATATTTGAGTTATTTTATATGTTTTTATATTTAGAAGTTACAAAAGCTGAGGATGTTCTTTAAAAACAAGAAGGCTGAGGTTTAATTGAAGTGTTCAAGATACTAAAGGGTACAAAAAAACTGAGCGTTAATAATAATTTAAATAGTCAGAAATCTAGAACAAGGAGACATGGACTGAAGGTTAGAATAGGGAAGTTATGCAGACAGCTCGGATATAATTATCGTACACAAAGAATGGTGAATTGGAGGCAAATTGTGTCAGCAAAGAAAAGAGAATTATATAGGCTGGTGAAGAACTGAAGGGTATCAAGCTAGTATTTTAAAAATATATACTGTATATATATTTATGGTAAGCCAGAGTAATGAACCTCAGACTAGTATAGTAATTTGCCAGTCACCATATCTTGACAAGATTACAGAAATGTGGCACGATAAGCCATTCAAGTTCAAAATTATCAATGTAGCAGAAATCACTACAGTGACTGATATATGCCCTAGCAACAAAATCAGGGTTGCTCAGGCATATATTAGGCTATGGAAAATCTCTATGCTCACTGGTACCCCAGTGCAGTTCTCAAGTATGAGGGTAAAACTGCAGCCTTAACACTAATTGTTCTTCCAGTGCATGATCTTTCACTGTTGCCAATCAGATAAAATTATTTAACCATAACAAATTCACAAATAATGTGTAACAATGATTTTACATCACTATCCAGGCAGATCGAAGAACACAGAAACAGGATGTTAGAGGTTTTAGGGAAACAGTTAAAAGATAAAATAGAAGACGAGGATGACCGCATTAAGAGAGCCACAGCAGAGATGGAGGCTAAAAGTGAGAAAGAGATCAGGGAAAAGGAAGAAAAACGGATGGCTGATTTGAAGTCCATTGCAGAACACAGAATTATGATGGTAATGTATTTGTTCACATAAAAGGTAACATAGGTTTTGTTTTTAAATATTCATCTATGTGTCGGTTGATGTCTCATTCAAAAGCGCCATCCTTTAGATGAGATGTTAAAACCTAGCTGCCTGTTTAGGTGAATGTTAAAGATCCCATGGCACTATTCAAAAAAAAGTAGAAAGAAATTTCTCCCAGTGTCCTGACCAACAATCCGACAGATAAAATTGATCATTCACTCATGGCTGTTTGTGGGGCATTTGAGGGGTAGTGTGATGATATTTAAGTTTTTTTAAAAAAACCTCTTAATACATGAATCCAAATCAGAGTTAAGTTTTGTAATGAGATAATGTACCATCAGCTGAAAGCAAAAGAGGATCAGGAAAAAGAAGAAAGAATAGAAGGACTTGAAATTCTTCATGCAAAGAAAGAGGCATATCGCATATTTGGTATGAAAAAGGCAGAAAAACAGCAGAAGATTCTCGAAGAGTGCAAGAAATTGCAAAGCTTTCAAATTCAACAACTGGTAATTATTACNTTTTTTCTCCCCTCTTTTTTCCAACTGCTGTATTTCTAGCTATGCTACTCCTGACTGTTTTGGGAATTAATACACACTGTACTTTCTTCCTGAAGTTGGCAGCTCAACTTTGTACCTTTGTAGGCCCCCCAAGGGAGCTTTGCCCAAGAAGCTATTCTACACATGTAGAACGTAGTAGGCGTCAAAGGGATATAGTATCTACCTCGAATGTCAGCATATTCACAATTTCAAGCATCAATCTCCAGATATAAATCTAAGTTTTTTTTTCTCTTCCCGAGCCTGGGGCACAGAAGTTAATTGTGGTTCTCCCATTACTAACCAATCCAAACTCACAATAGATTAGGGATTATTATAGAAAAATTTTACTTCCATGTCCACTTCCATTTGTCAGAAATATATGAAGTTATGTGGCTTCTTATTAAATAACGGGGTGTTTAAGAAAAATACAGGACATGTTAGAAAAATAAGTTAATGTTCTTTATCAATAGAAATTGGTGGGATAAATGAAAATACTTTCTGAAGGTGGTTTGGTAGATTACAACTCCATGTTGAGGACGTTAGTTTGAATTCACAAGTCAATCACGGACATGTTACTAGATGGAGTGCCTTATAATGGAAACATATTTTATTTAAGAAGAAAAACAACGGCTACCTAGGAAACCATTCTATTTAGAGATTAGTAGTCAGATTGAAGATGGCAGTGAAAATAAGTTAGAAGAGTAGCAGGGCTAGAAATACACAAGTAGCAAGAAAGAAATGTGATTTTTAGAACTCCATTTACCTGAGCACTTTGTGTGGTAACAATTGCTTGTGGCGCAGTCTTCCAAACAATTGCCTAGCATACAAAATAAAATTAACTTACACATTTTTGGAAATTAATACATACTGCATTTTTGTACATAGGTTAGTAAAAATATTAAATGGTCTGCCGCGTGCAAAAAAAATCACTATGTTCAAGAGTATCCAAACCCAAACATGATCCAACAAATGCATGCCACCAATGCATGGGAATTTCTGGAAAGGATCGTGCGCTTTCCCCTTGTAAAAGGCGCTGTACAAATGTAATCTTGTTGTTGTTGTAGTAGGAGAACCTATTTTAGGAAATCAGGCACAGGTTGGCATGTGCCAAAGTTTGGGCCCAGATTGTGCTTTTGAGGTATTGAGGTTTAATCAAATAAATATGCACAGCTTGCCATCGTGAGTACTGTCTGATACAATTCCTGCTGCCTGTTCAGCTAGCGCTACCCTTCCCAGTAGGGCTTTGAACACAAGTAGCAGCTGAGTGGAAAGAATCCCTACCAAATGCTGCAGACAAGCCAGGCTGACTGATCTGTTATTAGTAGTGCCTTGGAGCACATGTGGACCTGTCTGGTTCAGAAACTGGACAACTGAGACTGCTACAGAAGGTCAAATTGACTGCAAGATTCCATTGCCTGGCACATCATCCTGGATGCAGCTCAGCCCCAAAGAGAATCTTCTTTCCTCCCATGTTAGAACGCATGTTAGAAGTGTTGAAATGCATTGAAATAATCACATTAAAAAGATGACTGGTGATGTCTGAAAGTGATCGACTTGTTGGAACTTTTCTGCTTATTCATATGCCTATTATATACTTCTGAAAAATAACATCTGAAAAAACTTGACTTTCTGTACCCACTATCAATCAGGCTGAAAAGAAAGCGAGAATTTCACATGACCGCAATACTGATCTTGATCTTGAAAAACACACTAATGCTCTACTGGCTTTGGAAGAAAAGAAATTCCAAGAATATGCAAAAAGAGTTATTGATTCAGCCACTGAGAATGGGCGAAATACCTACCCACTTCTTAAAGCTGCTCATTGTGGTATTGGCGGTGGCTATGGACCAGCATTTGAAGGGAAAGGTGGAATAAAACCCAGTTACCAGTCCCAAGATAAGAGTGGAGTTCAACTTCCGAAATACACACGTGGTACAACTGAGCAGATTAAGCACCTACATGATACCGGTGACATCCAGTGGTCTAAGCAAGCCCTTGGATTTATGTGGTAATGATCCTAGAAAGTAGAGAATGATTTGTTTGCAATAAAAAGATGAAGAATAATACCGCACTTCATTTTACAATTGGTCTTCCTGTATAATTTATATCCTAGCAACCTTTGTACTGAATTATAATAATCCTTGCATTAAATTATTAGAATAGTAATTATAATTTAGCCAAGCATTTGATAATTACATTTTAGAGTACCGATTTTGTGATGTATTTGAACGGTTTAAGTAATCAAATAGTAAATGAAATGTAATGTCTGGTGAAAAAAAAACCAATAAAACCTGACAAACCGATTTGATTTTTTTTGCACGAGTAGAGAAAATGGTTTTACAGTTGTCATTCTGCTTCAAAACTGACCAAATGACATCATCATCTCAAAAGTCTATTTCTATAGGTTCTTGTGATCTGTTGACCCCCTGCAGACTGCATGGAAGTATAATAACCAGACTTCTTAGATTTATTTTACCAACCTAGAACACTTTCATGTCAGCTACAACAAATTAGTTCCAGAATAAAGCTCCCTGTAATTGCGTCCAAACATAGCTTAAACCTGATGAGATATTATGTGCATTTATCTGCTCCGTGTCTGATTGATTGCTAATTTAATGCCATATTATCAACGATATTATGCTGTGGACTCAAAAATCTATGTGAACTTGACTGAGATAGCACAAACCGATTTCATTAGGGTATATAAAAACATTTAACTGATCAATCCCTGCTATATTCAGATCAATGTCCTCATATCACAAGAAAAATATAGTTGTTATTGAAGGAGAATTTTATCTGAGGCAATCTTTAAACAAACATAAATAAATTACCGGACTCCTACTCCTATTTAGTCAATTATCAATAACATCCATATCACTTTTTAAAAATTGCAGCTCACAACATGTTCGTTCCACTGACACTGCATTCACTGAAAACACTTAGGTCATCTGTTCCTTATTTGGTTAATGCAACATTATTTAACATTGAAAATATAATGTCCTATATTATAGTTTTTGATACCAACCATTAGAATTAAAATATTTCCAATAACTTCAAAGCACGAGCTTGTAGCTCTACTGAACATTTTCCAGGAAGTTTAAAACATGATTTACAATCTGCAAAAAATAACTGGATAAATGTACCATATTCTATGATTCTAACCTGCGGGGGAGGAAGATTTTGTTCCAACTTTGTTCCTCATCTATGTAGAAGTCACTAATTTCAGACAGGATAGTGGTAGGGCATTACAACTGGCCTCAGTGCTCCAATTCAAACCCCCTGCTGGTGGTGAAGGGTGGGGAGATATACTGTAATGTTCTCCAGTTAAAGAGCCTTTCTATGTTCAAACATGAATAGTCACCTGTAGTGGAAGGCAATCAAGTAAACTGTGAAACTGAATAAGAGTAAATGCCACCAGGATAGGCCAAAGCAATAAAAAATTGAAAATTAAAATCTTCCCACCATGTGATTCATATAATTGAGAAATATGTACATATGTCAAGATGCATGTGGATATGGTTAGAACAGAGCGCCTTTGATTTCATATACTCTCCAGGAAATGATTCTCCTCTATAAAATAACATTGAAACTAATAATTTTATTGCAAGGTAGAATTTGTTATAACTGTTACAAACAGGATATGTTTGCAATATGCTATTACTGCATGATAGAACTCTAAAAATATTACAAGGGCCATACTGTATCAACTATACATTTGTTCAAGAACCAGATTCTTCCATGAATTTTATTACGCTGAGAAATAAATCATGAGTTCAGAAGAGAATAAAAAAATAAAGATTTTAATCTTTACCTTTAGATTTTCACCTGAATAAATGCGAATTGGAAATATTCAGGTGAAACGTTGTAAGACAGAATCTCAGAAAGCTGCAAATGTTGTGCCTTTATAAAGTACATTAATAAATAGCTCCCACAAGTTGATATTAAGACAAGACAATTTCTGGAACAACCACCACAAAACAAATAACACAACTGCAAGTATGATGTGAAGCTCCTGCTTTTACCAAACATTGCTTTTCTTGAAAATACTTTTTACTATATACTCAAAGTCAGGTAAAAATACCTGGGCGCACAATTGATAATATTCAGATTGCTTTTAACAGAATACAAAAATGTAATGAACCCGGTTAAAAGTGTTCAGTTTTGTCAAAACAAAATGGCTGACTCATTGAATCAATGAGAAAATAAACTGCCCTTTAATTTTTTTTGCTAAATTAAGTGTTTTACCAGGGTTGGTGTTGCTACTATTGGATTATCATGGTACAAGGGCCCTCCTCTAAATGTACTAATTAGGATTCAGATCATGGAAGCTTAACTTTATGAATCACATTTGTTTCTCTAAGACAAGATATAAAAAGACACAAGAACATTTGATATTCTAAAGGGTTAAGGTTTATAGCACTTTCAGGAGCAGCATTTTCCAATGCTATGTTTATAATCTAGATCAGGGATAATCAAATTGTCTAACTCTCTAGTCAGAATTAAGGAGGTCTCAGGTCCACAGCCACGATGCATTACATTACACAAATTCATAAAAACACAACATAGTACTGATTCCTGCAGTGGAAGTACATTTTTTTGGAACAATTTGACGTTGTGGTACTCGAGGTTATGCGAACAAAATACACACATATAAATGGAAAGTATGAGCATGAAATCCTACACTACTTTTTGAAAAACGTATTGGATATCTATCTTCCCTTTTTGAAACACCTACTGCACACGAAAATTAAAAACAAGCTAATGACACCGTAGCCAAACACCTTTAAACTGATATATGAAAATGAACTAGACATTATCCAGTTAAATCAGAAATAAAAATCCAGATGATCAGATTTATATAATGTAATACGCAATTGGTAAAAAAACGAGTGAATTTCTTTGCCAATTAAAGTCAGGAATGTGCTGGCGCACAGGTTTTCTACATTTGGCGCTCAGTTTAAGGAACATGCAATTCCAAGTCAGCTATAGCTTAGGAAGTATGCAGCAAAACAACACCAACAGGTTTTAAATCCAACGCTGTAATCTGCTTCTCCCTCTGCTTTTCAACACCTGACAACCTCTTGAGTGAAATGGTCATCTTATGAGTTAATTGTTCTGAATCAAGGGTAACACCAGTAATACATAGTTCCCACAAGATGATCTTAAAGAGACAATTCTGTGAAAACAAATGACACAGCCATAATGAAGCACTGTTTTTTTCCAGTCGATTTCCTGCCAAATTATGGGCAATTTTGTGTGCCAGTCACACAGACTTAAATTAAGAGTGGCCAAACTTATTTCAACACATCCCTATAGAGAAATGAATTCATCCCAGCAGTCTAGGCTAGATTCAAACAGTTAGCTCTAATTGGTGAAAGGCACTATGCTAACTAGCTGCAAATTTAAAAGCCAAAATTGTTAAATGTTTTAAAATAACAGAAAAACTGTCTTTCAATTACTTTACCAACCACCTGCTCTGCACCCAAGGATTTAGTGCACAATAATTCGCACATAAAAAAACAACCAAAGTTAAGAGAATTATAATGAATGCTTATAATGGAACAGAAATTGCTGGAAACGCACCACAACACCAACTGAAAGAGAAATGGTGAACATTTGGGTCACTGGATAAAGTAATAGTTATTGTTGGTATGTTTTAATAAACTTAAAAAACTAAAACCGTAAAGTTCCAAAATGAAACAACCGTTTGCACCACTTTACAAATTTATTAAAAGTCCAGTAGTACAAATATTTCAGGCTGCAGATTGTCAAAAAAAAAACTAAAATGATATCCAGGTTTAAAAGACATGTCCAAAACATGTTTATGAACAAAATTAAATCACAGAGACATTTATTGGCAACAATTGATCACATGTCCATAAAACATATTTATTCACTTTTATCATCATCTGAACTGGGGCTAGTATCACAGTGCCTCTCCTTATTATGGCTCCGATCTCTTTCTTTGCAATTGGACTTCTGGTTGTTAACTTTGTCATTATGGTCATTCTCTCTGCTTTTAGTTGCAGATTTTTCAGACTTTCTGCTTTTACTGCTTTCCCTTTTTCGGTTTGAACTGGGACTTCTACATCTCACTCTATCCCTGTTCCTGTCTTCATCATCTCTCTGACTGTCAGAGCTGCTGCTGTGATCCCTACCCCTGCTTCTGGAGTGCCTTTTCCGCCTTTCTTTTTCCTTGTGCTCTTTTTTCTCATTTGAAGTTTGATTTTCAACATGCTTTAACTCTTTCTCCTTACTTTGAGACTTAACATCTGAGCCTTTTGTTTTTTCCTTTGACCCCTGATCCCTATCTCTATCAGGAGATCTTCTTCTGTCTCTGCTCCTCGACCTTCCTCTCTTTTTATGTTCTTTATCTCGGTTCCTTTGACTTTCTTTGCTTCGACTTCTATCCCTCTCCTTGCTCCTGGATTTTGCTCGCTTTTCTTGATCTCTAACTTTGCCATGTTCCCCATTCTTACTGCTGGATTTATCACAGCTTTCCTTGCTTTTTTGATCCCGGTCCCTGCTTCTTTGATCCCGGTCCCTGCTTCTGGAGTTTACACATTTTCGTCTCTCTTTACTGCTGTCCTTTGCTCTATCTTTACTTGTAGATTTTGCCCGTTTTCTTCTCTCATTACTTCGACTCTGTTCCCGATCTTTACTCCTAGATTTTGCTCGCTTTCCTCTCTCTTTACTTTTACCACGCTCCCTACCTCTGCTTGTAGACCTGGATTTGGCCCGCTTACCTCTCTCTTTGCTTTTACTGCGTCCTCCATCTCTGCTTGCAGACCTGGATTTGGCCCGCTTACCTCTCTCTTTGCTTTTACTGCGTTCCCCATCTCTGCTTGCAGACCTGGATTTGGCCCGCTTACCTCTCTCTTTGCTTTTACTGCGTTCCCCATCTCTGCTTGCAGACCTGGATTTAGCTCGCTTTCCCCCCTCTTTACTTTTACTGCAATCCCTATCTCTACTGGCAGACTTGGATTTAGCTCGCTTTTCCCCTTCTTTGCTTTTACTGTGTTCCCCATCTCTACTTCCAGATCGGGATTTGGCCCATTTACCTCTCTCCTTACTTTTACTGTGCTCCCGATCTCTGCTCCTGGACTTGGATTTGGCCCGCTTTCCTCTTTCTGTACTTTTACTACGTTGCTGGTCTCTGCCCCCAGACTTGGACTCGGCCTGCTTCCCCCTCTCCTTGCTTTTACTGCGTTGCCGATCTCTGCTTCTAGACTTGGATTTGGCCCGCTTTCCCATCTCTTTGCTTTCACTGCGTTCCCCATCTCTACTCCTAGACTTGGAATCATCCCACCTTCCTCTCTCTTTGCTTTTACTGCGTTCCCTATCCTTACTCCTGGATTTTGACTTGGCCTGCTTTCCTGTGTCCTTACTTTTATTCTGTTCTCGATCCATACTTCTAGATTTTGATTTAAACTGTTTCCCTCTCTCTTTACCCTGTTCTCGATCTCTACTCTTAGAATTCTCACGTTTGCCTTGATCTTTACTTTTGCTCCGCTCCCTCTCTTTGCTTGATTTGGCCGACTTTTCTTTCTCTCTCTCCTTTCCATGTTCTCTATCTTTGCTTTTGGATTTTGCCCTCTTCTCTTTATCTTTACTTGGTTTCTGCTCTCTCTCATTACTTCTATTTTTTGCTCGCTTTTCTTTATCTTTGCTTCTGCTTCGATTTCTTTCTTTGCTCCTGGACTTATCCCTCTCCCTCTTTTTAGCTTTATCTTTATCATGTTTATCATCTTTGTCCGTCTTCCTCGGTTCTCTCTCTTTACTTCTAGATCGATGGCTTCGTCCTGTATCTCGATTTGTTTTCCTATCTCTCTCCCTGCTTCTTCTCCCACCATCCACTGTGTCCTGTTTGAAGTCTGAAGCCGTCCTTTCTCTTCCTCTGCCTGGGCTCTTGTTGTTGTCATTTTCTTTCTTCTCATTCACTTCACCTCTTTAATAAGAATTGAAAAAAAGAATAAACTTTAAAAACACTTATTTCACTTTAACAAGTGATCAGTAATTAAGCCTCCTAATTAATTACTGACCACTGATCAAAAATCCTAGTCACCATGACGTAAGAGAACATGAGCAACAAAAAGATAAACAAAACCTCATGTAATAAAGATTGCAATAAATTTCTAGAATGTCACTATTGTTACACATCTTAGAAAAAAGTGGTCTACCTGTGGAAAAATGAGGGATGGTTATAAACAAAATTCAACGCCTGGAGAAGAAGAATGTCTGGCAACTCCAGGGAGGTTAGTGTAGTGGAGACATGATTAGAAGCAATTATTCCGAACAGTTACATATTAATTTCTGGGCTACATGTCATTTATAAAATTTAATCATGTAAAGTAATAAAGAAACCATAGAAATAGTTCTATGTCCATTACACTAGAAAAAATAAAACTTACATAGGTATTATGATTAAAGGTAACCAATATAGATACATATTCAAACAACGCCTTAAAATCTCATCTGGTAATTGTAGAACTTGAGCTAATTTTTCCTGCTCCCACCTGTGGCACAGAACCCAAATGGTAGAATTTCCAATCAAGAATAGTAAGGTATGACTTTTGCACCTGTTTAATTCAACCCCAATGAGATGCTTCTATGCATTTACCAATAACCACCCCTGAACAAATGAGGCATTACATGGTGCATTATCCTTTTTAATCAGCTAAGCTTAAAAGGATTACAGTAACAAAACACAACATAGAACATCTTTAACAACTTGGAATACCCACTTATCTCCTTTGATCCACCGTTCTCCGCTTGAAAATCTCATTTTTTGTGCTCGTTGCATCTCCTGTCTCCAATGAGGTGGAGTCTCACTGCGCCTGAACCGATCCCTTGACCGAGACCTTGATCTTGAAGGTGTTCGATAGCGCTGAAAAAGAGAATACTGCTTTCTACTATGTTTCACTATTGTATCAGCATTTTCCACAACTCTTCACAGGTTCAGTTGAATTTTTTTTTCTGTGTAGTCAATTCAGAACGATGAAACATTGATCATTTAAAAAAAAACACACAATCAGGCCATGCTTCTGCTCGATTATCTCTGCTACAGAACCTTATGATTGTTCAGCTATTGATTTTAAACAGAATTTGCTCAAAGTAAATTACTTATCTTTACAAATATTACGATATTTTTTTTCCTTTTTCTAAACACGATTTTGTTGTTACCCTGTAGGTAATGGAATTTCTTGCATAATAAAGCTAATTAAAATGAGCAAAATCACCACTGCAAAATATCCTTGGGGAGCTATCATGGGAACAAGCCACATGTATTTGGTAACTTAGAGAAGTGAAATGAAGGGGGTAAAAACAGAAAAGAATGGTTTACGTAGACTACCAACCAAATGCAAGGTCCAATAAGAGGAACTTTTGGTTTGAATGATATTTATGGAATATTATATATGGAATGTTACATCCAGCATGCTTCATGACCCAATTTATAACTGGGAGAGATTTCCTAGAACACATATAGAAAAGCTGTTTTGTGAAATAAAATTCCCAAACACAGAGAACATTACTTACCCTGGGTCCTCTTCCCTTAATTTTTCTGCCTGACCTGGTTACCAGGAGTCGTCGCTGATATGTAGACATTTGGGAATTTGATGGGTTACTATGGAAAATAAAAATCTGCTATTATACGACCACATTTACCTCAATTGAGCTAAGACTCAAGTTAATTCCCCAACAATTAGCAACAATAATCTGTTCATTTGATATAATAATCCTTGCATTTAATATAACGCTTTTCACGTCTTCTCGGTGTCTCAAAGCGCTTCACAGAATAGACTGTAAAGTGAATTGACCGTACATTTGTGGGCGATAAGGTGCGATATAGCACCTTATCATATCTTCAAAACGTCTCAAAGCGCTTCACAGAATATTCTGTAAAGTGAATTTACTATATTTTGGGGGCTACATGCGACAATCAATTGCGCATAGTGATGTCCTACAAACAGTCGTGGATTGAGTAACCAATCTATTAAATTTTTTAAAATGAATTATAACCCTCAAAAAAGAAATCCTCCAACCGACTAATAACCGGGTTCTTACTTATTGCTAGATAAATAGTGTGGAGTAAGCAAACTTGCCGAACGTTTCGCCCTGCCGGGAATCAAACCCAGGTCTCTCACGTGCGAGGCGAGTGCTCTAGCCACTGAGCTACAGGACTCCACCATCCTGTAAAATGTTAACAGTAATCTCGATTCTAGCTTTTTGCATGTTTTAACAAAACACATGTTTTTATAAAATCTGCAGCAGAACGATAATGTATAACAGGGTGGTCCAACTGCCGGCCCACTTGCTTGTTTTAACAGAAAACGTATTCCGAAGTTTGTGACACTAACCTTTCTTTTTCTCTTTCTTTTTTCTTCTCTTTTTCGGGACTCCTTCTCATTAGGAACTTGTTTTCTGGCACAAGAGGGATTTCATCAGGATGGACAGTGGCAACAGCCGGCACAGCAGCAGTTTCTGCATCACTCTCATCCGATGAGCTTCAAGATAAATTGAAACAAGATATTTGTGTACTTTATTCTCAAAGATTTTATTGATGTTTATTATTCATTTTCATAACGTGACACAAGATAAATTTACAAAAATATTTCACTAGTTTACACTGAAACGTAATAATACAAATCGTGTCTTTTTTAAAAAAAAGCTACAACCAACCTTTTCTTTTCAGATTTCTTTCTTTTCTTCTTCTCTTTCTTTCGTTTCTTAGATTCTTTCTTACGCTGTTTCTTTTTTCTTTTCTTTGAATCTCCGTCTGTTTCACTTTCCGATTCTGAGGAAGATTCTGAGTCGCTAGAACTGTCAGAGTCGCTTGAAGTGGACGAGGAGGATTTCTTCCTTTTCTTCTCGTCTTTTTTGGCTGATTTATTAAAGTAAAATACAGCAGTTGGTTAACATTTGCACCTTTCATTTATCTACAAATGTACAGAAAATAAATTAAATGTATTTCACAGTGGAGCGTGTAAATGCTCAAGAAAAATAGTGCAGCAAACAAGAACCAATTAGAAGACTTGTCAACATATAAACAATTAATTCAGATCACAGGAATCTTTGCTTTTTCACCATAATGTGATGAATGGATAATCTACTGTCAACTCAATTTCTTATTTTTTCTTGAATATTACTTTTAAAATTGCATTTGGCTGTGTACAAAGTTCTATGCAGATTTTTTCAAGTTTGGAGGAATTTGAGAAGTCAAATTTACTGAAAGTAAGATCAACTTTCTTACAGTCAACGGGAAGTAGGCCTAAATGTTTGTGCTAACATCACGTTGCATTCCAATGTTACTTAAGCCTTTAAATCTGATATAATTTATACACAAAAAAATCTCCTTATACAGAGCGGTGAAGGAAAACACTGATAAAGCAGAATTTACATTATATAATTATAATGGACACTTTCTTACAATAATATACTCAAATCAATAAGAATTCACAAACCTTTGGCTTTAGGAATCAATTCTCCACAGTTTAAGATGCGCACTTCTGCATAAGGTTTGCTATTAGCATCCGTTTTCTGGTTTTCTACATCTCTTATTAAATCCTGGCCTGAAATAACTTGACCAAAGACCACGTGTACACTGAGAAATCAAAGGGCAATGTTATTTATTGTTTCAGCCATAGATAAATAAAGATAAAGACAACACAGCTTATTCAGTACTCACCCATCTAAATGTGGTGCAGGCTTAGTAGTTCTTTTTGTTTAATATATATTTTCAAAAATGGACGTTGATAACATGAAATACAGATAAAAATACAATTAGACAGCGATACAAGCAACAATGACTTCTACACAAGTACAGAAACTCAGATTTTCTTCTCTATAAACAATAAAATATTAACAAGACATTGCAATGGACTAACATCTGCACAAACAGATCTGGGACAGCAGAAATTTCTCAGAATGCATATGGGAGATGCTTTTAAATAATAACCTCCATTTTGCCAAGTAGTTATTTAATTGGAATTTTGAAGCTCAACAACGCAAAGAGCAAGGCGAGCAGAATAATGTGAGGTTTTGGAACGAAGAAGAGTTGAATCAAAGCAATTGAGTTGAGTCCAATCAATGCTTTTCAACCAAGATCAGAAATTTCAACAGTAAAACACTTACATGAAAAACTGTGAACCATTTGTATCCTTTCCTCTGTTAGCCATGGATAATAGGAACTCTTTGTTGTGTTTGACTGAGAAGCTTTCATCTATTATTAATAAAGTGTGTGATCAGTTTACAGTAGAGGATACTAGATACCTTTAAGCATGACCATCTTCCACAAAATACATCATCTCTGAATAAATTTAACGAGTATAGTGACAAAAAATAAATTCACAAAACAACTGCACCTTAATAGATGTGTGCAAACATTTCAATTTCACCCAAATGTTTCACTTTTGTGTTTTATCCTTAAATATTGTTTTCTTTGTACTCACTGATCAGTATTTTAATTTGTTTCAAATACTATGAAATGTAGAGATAACCAAAGTATTTATGCCTATGTGGGAAAATACAACAGAAAGTAGTTCTTACCTTCAAAAAAGCCACCATAAATAGATTCACCTCCCCGGCCATTTCCTAAAAGGGCACAGAGAAAAGTATTATGAAATTCCACAACTTTATTGCTTGAATTAGGTTTCTAATCTACATGGTTTAAAAAATGTCTCAGAAAAAATGGCCAACAGTTGCAACTATATTTATGCGCGCATCACTTTCAACAGAAGAAAATATATGCCTCTCCTGGTCTTAAATCATTTAACCAACTACTAATTAAACACAGATATCAATAATAATGCTTGTATCTTAATAGTGATGCTTATTACTTCAGTTATATGTAAACGCAGTGACCATGTATTTTGGGGCAAACCAAAACATGAACAGCCTAGAAAAAAAGGAGAGAAAGAGGGAATATTTGAGACCTAATTTGAAGTCTTTGGAAGGAAGTTGGAGGGAAAAGTGAATACAATTTTTTCAAATCCACATTACAAAAACAAACTACTGTTCTGCATACCTTCACTGAAGTCACCTCCTTGGATCATAAAATCCTTCACAACTCTGTGAAACAGACAACCTTTATAATGCAAAGGTTTTTGGGTACATTTGCCTCCTCCCTTTTCACCTGTCAAGAAACCAATGAAACATGTAGGTAGATTGCCAATAGTGCATTGCTTCTAGTTCGAACTTGAATATTAAATCTATATCCACCAAGTTAAATTGCATGTTCAATTAATAAAGCTTCATAATACAGTTAGAAAGAACAGTTTTGCATCAAATCCCCATAACCTATACAGTATAATGCTTGCATTTTGACACAGTATTTTACACTCACAAAATGGCTCAAAACAAAACCTTCTGACCCAATACAAAAGTGTTATCATTGAGTCAAACTTCTACGAATAACAAATAATAGAGGGCATCCAATAGTTTCAAAGGTCAAAACAGCAATACCCAATTGTGGATTTATAGAGTGAAATCCACTTAGCATTATGTAGAATAAGTTTAATATAATTAAAATCACAAATAAAGACACTTTCAGTATTAATAAAGATCAATGCTGTGACTAACCTGTGCAGAGACAGCGGAAGTTTTCACAGGTCTTTGGACACACATCTGAAAACAATTCAAAGACAACTCTTCCCACTGTGAAGAGAAAATGAGCAGCAGTTCAGTCTTGAAAATTCACTTGACATATTTGCTACACAAACTAATATAGCGTGTCAAGTTTAACTGCAATAACCAAAATTATACTCACCTCAATAAAATTGCATAACATTTTCTCTCACCAGACAAACACTGAAGTCATAAGTGGATTTTTCTCTATCATTTAATTTCTTTAGCTTGGTAAGTATGCAAACACACCTCCTCCAAACAATGACATAAATATTTAGTGCTCCCCCCTCCCCCCACCATTTTAACTGCATTCTTTGGTTTTGAAAACATCAAACATTTCCAGTAGATATTCTCAAATCTAACAAACCATACAAACTGAACTTGCAACAATGTTCCAACGCTATCAAATGATTATTCTTAAAGAATGTAGTCAGTGAAATGCACATTAGCATTGTACAATAACAAAAATTCAACAAAGGTTAAACTACTGCCACGGTCACTTCCATGTCGTGAAAGCCGCAATATTCGCACAAGTAACAGAAGTTGTGTAACAGTTTCGCTCTTACCGTTCACATTGTTGACAGTTATATCAAAGAAACACCGAGGACGCTGTGCCTTCACCCACATGCTTTCCACACGTTGGGAGTTGCTGCAAAAAAAAATCAAATGCAATTCTTTCATAAAAGTATCCAGCACAAAGCATTTCTTCACGCAGTAATCTTATCAACAAGGTCACTCTTTCATGAACCTACACATTTCACAAGATCTCATATCGACAAACATTATTTTATGGTTTGAACTGAGTTACAAAAAATAGGTAGAATTGGCAAAACAGCACAATATTACATTTGGTCAAGAGTCTACAGTGACACCGAGAAGTCTGAGGCCCATTGTATTTTTCCAGGTTATAGAAAAGTGTCCTTAGATATCTAACAAGCCACGTGCAAGCAAATTAAAAGATGAAAATCCTTTTCTCCAGGTCATGTGAGAAATCAGCGTAGCCGAGCCCCCTGTGCTAACAATCAATTCCCAGTCTGGAATTTCCACTTGATATAAAATCCAGCTTTGGCGCAGCTGGGATCTGTTCTTGGACGGCATGCTGGCAAATGGAACTAGCATCAGTGAGGAACACTATGAATATAAGAAATTAGGATTTGCCTCAACATGGAGTCCTGTAGCTCAGTGGTTAGAGCACTCTCTTTGCAAGTGAGAGACCTGAGTTCAATCACAGGCAGAGGGCAAAACCTTGGGCAAGTTTCCTTACTCCACACAGAGCCTAATAATAATCCCTCCAAAACCAAAAAAAACAATAATAAATTGGTCATTTTCAATCCACGACTGTGGGACATTGCTGTGCGCAATTGGCTGCCGCGTTCGCCCATAAATAAACAGTCAATTCACTTTACAGTGTGTTCTGTGAAGCGCTTTGGGACGTCCTCCCGACGTGAAAAGCGCTATATCAAATGCAAGGATTATTATTATTATAACATAATATTTCTGGTATTTTATTTTAGACACCCAACGAACTCCATATATTATTATATCAGCAAGACTAACAAAACTGGATAACACTACAGATGTACTTTATTTCAAACAAAATTCTTCTCAACTGAAAAGATCAAATAGAAAGACACTTGGACAGAAATTCACTGGAGTGAGCAACTCTTTGGGAACCATGAAATGCATTACTGCATTAATTAAATTAAGACTCCCTCCTCAAAAAAAACTTTTTTTGAATCAGAACAAGTAACACAAACATCAGAACGCATTTCACAGGTAGTTGCTTTCAAATGTAGTCACTTGTGTATTTTTAGGCAAACACACAGAGCAAAGTCCAACGACCAGCTATGAAGTGAATTACCAATTTTATGTGGAGGACTGTGGACCAGGACCGAGAGAAACTCACCACAGTTTCTGAATATCATTACATAATTTTAACAGACAGGAGCTTAATTTTAACCCTTCACTTGAAAAACAGCACCTTTGCCAATGTAGCACTCTCCTAATATTATATTGTATTGTCAACCTAGACTATGAACTCAATAGATAGAGTTCTTGAGATCAGGTTTGAACTTTCAGAACAAAAAGCGAGTCTGCTACCAACTGTGCTAAGATTACAATGTTTGAAAACTTCCCTTGGCTTCCTATTATCAAACAGTTCATAAGGATGAAGGGTTGAAGTGTTAGCTATCTATTTTACTGTCAATGCAACAAACAAATTGTAATACAGATAGATGAAATGTCAATATAATCCCAAACAAATACTGCATTGCAGTAAATCTAGGTCAACATCAAGCTAATAAAGCTTGCTACAGATTTGACATTTTAGCCCATCTAGATTTTTGAACAGTGGAACATGAAAATCAAAATATCTTTCCAACAGAATAGTCTACGCTTTTTAAAACGTTTCTTAGTAATTCAGTTTAAGCTAAACCTAAAACGGTATACATCAGAAAAAGGTTGTGATGTGAAGGAAAAAGAGGTGGATGTCGCTCTGGAACTTCAATGACTTGCTCCATTGTTTCCATTTTGGAAGCAATGCGTTTCATTCAATAAGAAGGGTTACAAAACTCACACCTATCAAATAAATTCTATAGTCTCAACTGAATTAAAACACTAAATCATAAGAATCCTCAAAACTATTGGTAGGTGTTGCTGATGTCACTTTCTGTAAAATGTTCTCACTTTGTCGACTTCAACCATGAAAAGCAAAATGTACTCTTTGGGGTACAATTATAGAATTTCTCCGATTTTACTTGTTTAGTGACAGCGTTTTGAATTACCCAACACTTAGGAAGAACAATGGCAATAATGGGCTCTCAGTGATAGTGTACTCTGAAGTGATGAATTTAAGTGTTCAGTAATCACACAAGAAAGGCTTTTAAGTACAGCTTTTCCAATATTTTACTGGCAGCAATACACTAAATAGGCCTAAGAGCAACATTGGAAGAACTTTAAATCCATCCTACAGAAAAAAATTAGCTACCTGTGCATTTGGAGCTATAAATAAAATAATCCTTCTATTTTATGTTGTGCCTTAATGTCAAGAGTACATTTCAAAGTGCTTCACAGGAATTACCGTGAAGTGTAGTGATCGTAAAGGTGAAAAATGAGCCGAGCAATGCTGAATCGATGACAAACAAAATCACCCAAGATTTGTTATGCTATCCTCTGAGATGCTCCTCTTGTGAGGGGCACTATATAAAAGCTAGTTGAACCTATACACAGACACACGTTCGTGCATCAGTTATTTGTTACATAAAGCAAGGCTAAATGTGGTTTCTGAATGTCTCAGATATCTAAAAAGACTGAAGCAAAAAAAATTGTTCTTCAAACAATTTGGGTGATGGGCCAACTATTCTTAATAGATAGATCGATCTATGGATACCAATGTTTACTTCACAGAGGGAAAATGGACAGGTGAATACCCATGAAACATACTTGCCCTAATAGATTTGCCAGAGAAATTCACCTGCCTGATAATATATTGATTAGCCACAAAATTTCTGTAGATTATTTATGTGCTGGATATGTAACATTTAACAGTACATGAATTGCCACTATCTGTTCTCCCTCTGAACAGATTTTTAATTTGGGACCTTTTAATTTAGTTTACAAACTGCAAAATCAGCACAATTAAAACCCCCATTACTTTGACATCACCAGCACACTATATCAGTCATAACTAATTATTTTAGAGCTACAGTGTTTTATTATTTCCCACAATCTTCCTTAAATCTACTCAGCTAATGTAAAAGACCCTAAAATTTGAAACAGCAGAATTCTACTCTCTACTGAAATGAATTCCCCCACAGCCCCCCACCCCTCCCCCCCACCCAGCCCCCCCAACCCTCCCCTCACAAGCCCCCCAACCCTCCCCTCACAAGCCCCCCCAACCCTCCCCTCACAAGCCCCCCAACCCTCCCCTCACAAGCCCCCCCAACCCTCCCCTCACAAGCCCCCCCAACCCTCCCCTCACAAGCCCCCCCAACCCTCCCCTCACAAGCCCCCCAACCCTCCCCTCACAAGCCCCCCCAACCCTCCCCTCACAAGCCCCCCCAACCCTCCCCTCACAAGCCCCCCCAACCCTCCCCTCACAAGCCCCCCAACCCTCCCCTCACAAGCCCCCCCAACCCTCCCCTCACAAGCCCCCCCAACCCTCCCCTCACAAGCCCCCCCAACCCTCCCCACACAAGCCCCCCCAACCCTCCCCACACAAGCCCCCCAACCCTCCCCACACAGCCCCCCCAACCCTCCCCTCACAAGCCCCCCCAACCCTCCCCTCACAAGCCCCCCCAACCCTCCCCTCACAAGCCCCCCCAACCCTCCCCTCACAAGCCCCCCAACCCTCCCCTCACAAGCCCCCCCAACCCTCCCCTCACAAGCCCCCCCAACCCTCCCCTCACAAGCCCCCCCAACCCTCCCCTCACAAGCCCCCCAACCCTCCCCTCACAAGCCCCCCCAACCCTCCCCTCACAAGCCCCCCCAACCCTCCCCTCACAAGCCCCCCCAACCCTCCCCTCACAAGCCCCCCCAACCCTCCCCTCACAAGCCCCCCCAACCCTCCCCTCACAAGCCCCCCAACCCTCCCCTCACAAGCCCCCCCAACCCTCCCCTCACAAGCCCCCCAACCCTCCCCTCACAAGCCCCCCCAACCCTCCCCTCACAGGCCCCAACGCTCCCCTCCCCACATAGCCCCCCAGCCCTCCCCCCACAGCCCTCCAAAAAAAAACCCTCCCCGCCACAAACTCACATGTCGCCCGAATGCCGTGTGTCCCAAAGAGGCGGTAACGCGCGGGCGGGCGGTTGACGAGGGAACAAACCACAGGGCCTACGCTGCTCGCGAAGGCATCAGGGCCGCGTGTAGGCCTCGGCCTGAGGCGCTCTCTAAACCCTCTCCCGCTTTCCCTTTTTTTTTCCGCCCTCCTCTCCCCCTTCTTCCTCCTCTTCCTCCTCCTCCAACGACGTTCCCCTCAGTCACAGAGCGCCGGAGCTCGAGCCGCCGCCGCCACCGCCGCCACCAAACTCTCGACCCATTCACTCCCGCGCCCGACGCTCCGATTGGTGCAAACGCACCACCCGCCCGCGGTCACCACCCCTTTCCCGCGTCTGGATTGGTCCAGGCGGCTGCCCATCACCCCCCCCCCCCGCTGGCCCCGCCCTCCCCCCAGCAGGTTAGGTGGGTTCGCAGGAGGCGCCATCTCGCCGCTCGCGCAGCCCGCGGCGCGCGCGCACCTCAGCCCCAGCACCGCAAGGCCGCGGATCGCGGGCCTACACCGCCTTCCCGCCCGCGGGTTTCAGGTAAAATCACACACACGGAGCCATTTTTTTTTTTTGGGGGGACACACGCAATAACAGGACCCCGACGAGGATTTTGGCGGGAGGAAGAAACTAACCGGTTGACCGACCGACCGACGCGACCCGACCGGTTGCGGCGAAAAGCGAAGCGACGCGACGCGCTGAGAGGCGGCTTTCACGCTCCTGTCGCCGCTCGCGCTGCGGCTCCCGCTCCCGACGTCCAAAGATGGCGCTAAGCGCGAGCGGCGGCGGCGGCGGCGACGTCAGTGCATTTCGGGTAAAAAGTCCCGTCCCGTCCCCGCTCCCAACTGAACCGAACCCGGGCTCGGGGGTGGGGCAGAGAGCGCTCACTCACTCACTCGCCCACTCGCTCGGCCCCGACCGGCGTTTGTGGCCACGCGAGACCCCGTCAAAAGTTGCTCCGCTCGGTTCTTCTCCGGCACTGAACGAGCGGTCGGGCGGCGGGGAAGCCGATGGCGGTCGGTAGCGACACTCCCCCCCACTCTCTCTCTCTCTCTCCCCACCCGAGCACCGTGTTTCCTCCTCCGCTCTCTCTCCGCCTCTCGGAGGCTGAGGCCGTGACCCGAGCCCGGGAGCCGTTGGCACGTCTGACTGACTGACTGACTGACTGCTCGGCTCCTCTCTGCCTTCAGTGAGTCACCTCCTCCACAGCTGAAGGCTTCGTTTTTAAACCGACATTGCACTTTGCAGCGAGTGGTCCGGTCGTTACAGCAGGAATTGCCGGTGGGGGTGGGGTGGGGTGTGGGGGGGTGAGGGTTAGGGCTATTTTTTATATTATTATATTAGACTTCGTTGTTATTGAAGTGACTGAAGGATTGGGCTCAGGCCACTCTTTCAAGGGTTACGCTTTGGCTGAGAGCGGTTATTGATGCGATGTTATTGTCGTTTGTAATAATAATATTAATAAGATAACGCGACGATGATGACCGTAACCCTCGCGTCTTCGAGACGGCGCCGCACCGCGGCTTCGAGGCGTCCCAAAGCGCTCCGCGGAGCGTACCGCCGAGCGAATTTTCCGTACGCCTAACGCCGATAATAATAATAATAATAATAATAATAATCCTCGCATTTGATATAGCGCTTTTCACGTCGGGAGGACGTCCCAAAGCGCTTCACAGAACACACTGTAAAGTGAATTGACTGTATATTTGTGGGCGAACGCGGCAGCCAATTGCGCACAGCGATGTCCCACAAACAGTCGTAGATTGAAAATGACCAATTTATTATTGTTTTTGGTTTTGGAGGATTATTATTAGGCTCTGTGTGGAGTAAGGAAACTTGCCCAAGGTTTCGCCCTCTGCCTGGAATTGAACTCAGATCTCTCACTCGCAAAGCGAGTGCTCTAACCACTGAGCTACAGGACTCCACAAATGTATGACACGAATGTATCTCCAGGAGCTATATTCCTCGCCGGCAGTCGCACGCGAAAAGTCGAGGCCGTGCGTTATTCAATTCCTCCTTCGGCTCAGCGAGCGCCGGTCTGCCTCGTGGCCCCCTCCCAGTTTCAGCCACTCTGACCCTGCTCTCTGAAGGTCCGTCCCACGCCCCCCCCCCCCCCCCCCCCGCTTTGCAAGCACAAAGTTTATTCGGTCCCCCCGTTTGGTGCTATAATCCTCGTTTTTCCGGTCGACCTGAAAGTCACAATATTGAGAATTAAGTTTTTTTTTTGGGGGGGGGGGTGTCCAAATACTGAGTTACAGGCTCAGGGAAACATTTTTCCTTTATGTCATGTTTTAACATAACTTGGTTTGAAATTGTGGAATCGTAATATGTTTATTATGGACTTAATGCAATAATTGTATAAATGCTTATTTGCACTTAGGCTGGACTCTGATTTTGGTCATCAGTATTAGGTATTGAATACAATCTTTTTTTAAATGACAGTTATACAAATTATCACACGAATTAATAAATGGTGAAATAATAAGTCATTACCTAACTCAATTCTTCTTTTCACTCTACAGATAAGAATGAATGTATCCAAACGAGTCCTTGATGAATTTGTCTCTCTCAATGGAGTATACAGATTGACATTGTTTAGTATACTACAACGATGACTTAGTTCACATTTATAGTAACTAAATATTGTTTTTATAAAATAGTGCAACTTTTAAACAAAAATGCTTCGTTTGAGGCGCATATGTTTTCTCTCTATGAGATTCTTTCACTCACGGGTTATGGGGAGTGATCCCCTGCTGGACCATTTAGACAACTGTACAAATGAGGACCAAGTGTTTGATACCATTGGAAAGAACAAAGCCAAACTTTCTGTGAAGCATGTGGGATGTGCAGTACGTCTACTTTGGCAATTTCAAAAGGAGAGACCACAAGTGCTGAGGACTATAGATTTCATTAAAGGCCATTCACAGTTTATGGTTCTACGCGTATTAGCTGAAAACAAGATTGACTCGATGGATGACGAAACATTGGTGGATCTGTTGTATAATGTGCTGAGGTAACTACTGATAATGAAGATTATTTAAATCGCAGCTTTCAAACAACAATGTTTTACAAATGGAGCAGGACATTTGCTACACCACCAACATTGCTATTTTGTTTGTGTGTACAGATTGCAGTTTCATGTTCTTAACCCTGTCTTTAGTCTCTTTCCAGAGAACAGTAAGAAATGCTATTAGTTTACCGTTTAGTCTCATTTTGGTTGAAACTGAAATCGGTGAAATGTAGTGCTACTAATTGGTATGGGGATTAATTCCCTAGTTATTTAAATAAAAATAATTGACTTCAGAAAGAATGAATTATGTAATGTGAAAAGGTTAAGAGCAGAGATTCAATAGCTTTGTGACTGAGATAGCTTTTTATGGGACACATGGAGCAAAATATATGCACAAAGTTTATACTTTCAGAAAAACATTCTAAGTACACCTAAAAGCTTGAGTCTTTCAACTGTGAAATCAACAATTTGCTTTGGCACGTTTGCACTTTTGGTTCAATTTTTTAATGTAACAAAATATATTTGTGTCTTACCAAAAGGCTGAATGTTGAACCCCATGATTCCCTGGTGCAAGAGCTTCTGGTTGAGGCATGGTGGAGAATTGAAAGGTAAATTCTACAGATTTTGTTTTCCTATTATTGCTTTTAAAAAGTATGGTAAATTTTTCTTTGCCTTCGTGATTTAGTAAATACGCAGAGTAAAATACATAAGTGCAATTTTTATAAAGAATCAATGTACATCAGATGAAGGTCATGTTTGATAGACACAAGTCTGCAATAACATACTATAATCGAATACTTTCAAATTTCAATAAATAGTAATCATAATACAGTGAAGTGTCCGTTTGTTAGAACTGGGAAAAATCCTACTCCGATCAAATTAATGATTATGTGGTGTGGCCCTAAATGATATTCTGGATGGAAACTGATGATGAACAAGGCAGTCGGCATCCTGGTTATATTGCCGATCAGTTGAGTTCAAATCCCCAAATAAAACTTAACCTATACAGTGCTCTGGTCAGGCTGCACCTGGAGTACTGTATTCAGTTCTGTTTTCTGCCACATAAGGAGGCTGTCCAGGCCCCAGACAAGCAGTGCAGAGGAGTCCAACTAGGCTGGCCCCTGCTGTTAGAGAAATGATCTGCAGTGTTAGCAATGATTAGAGAAAACAAGGTTTTGAAAGGAGACATCTCCGAGAGGACTTTGAAGAGGAACCTAAAATTTTAACTGGGATTGGAAAAATAAACCTTTAGGATGCACCAACATAGTAGAGTGGATCCTGCATTGACGGGGCAACAACGATGCTTACTACTGGTGCCACTAGCACTATTTCTCAATTGGTTCTTCCTATTGCAATCAGATCCAGAAGGTTACAGGAATGCCTAACATTTTACTGTTGCTGTTTCCGTTATGGCAGATTTAGTATGGCTACCTTGTCGAAGTTCGCTGTGTGTCTGACTGAGCAACACATGTACTTCAGTCCTCTAATGGGAAGAATTGCTGATATTGTCAGTAGAAAACTGGATTCTATACAGGATCCAAGGTAAGGTTATTTGTGTAAACGTATGCCTGCAAATCCCATCATGCCCACATGCACCTCCCTGCATCCTCACTCTTCAACTCACTGCCTTTCCTTGGTAAATTCAGGGCTGCTGCACTTTACGCGTTCCCTCCAACCTACCTTTGGTGGCCGAGCTTTCAGCTACTGTGTACCAACTCTCTAGAATTCCACCCCCCAACCCCCATTATTTGTTAGTGCAGTTACAAAACAATGATTTGTTCAAATGTATTCCTATTTGTATTCACAAAATTAACTGGTATGACACAATTTTGCTGTGTGGAAATTATTTATGATTCAAAATGTATACTGTATTGTCTTATGAAGTGGCATTATACACAATGGTTTGACCCTTTTGTGTCCATTTTTTAAATAGGATACTTTCATCATTAATGGTGAGTGTTACCAGTGTCATCTCCACGTGCCTTCGAGATCGTCTGATAGAAAAGGCAACATCGCTAATGGACACCACAGATCCAGCACAATTTAACCATTCACGCAGAATGATACAATTTCTGCGCAACATCAAGTTTGGTTATCGCATTTTGCTAGAAAAGTGCAACAAGGTTTTTCTACAGAACATGCATCAGATGGATGTGGACAATATAAGCATAATCCTCGGAGTGTACCAATCGTTGCATTTTAACAATTGTGATTTCCGGTTAGCTGCTAAACAGAGACTCACTGAACTGTTGGACTTGTGTCCTGATCCTGTCAGCTTTACCAGGCTGTTTGCAGCACTCGGTCCTTTGGCAGGGCCAGAGGTGAGAGAAAGGTACAAGTCTTTTTTTTTAGATGCGATTATATGATCTGAATACCTTTTTTGTTGTTAAACTGATACACGGATACAGTATCTCTCTGTGTAAGAAAAGCCTGAAGATTTGTGACATTTTTCTGGCATTTTTAAAAAATGCAAATGTTCAGATATTTGGTTTTCTGCAACAAAAAAATTAACAAAATTAAATACCGTGAAAATGAATGAGAAGTATAAATAGCATTTGACAATTAAATACAACAATTTTTTTAAAAAAAAATCAAATGGCCCTCCTATTGCTGTTTCAAAGATTTGTGATAATACGTTTTGATCCAAGGACATTGTGGGCATAGATTAGCCTACATTGGAACATTCACTTCATCTCTAAATCAATTATATTTTGTAACGCATTTCACGTTTTTTTTACATGTGGAAGCTGCTCTGTAAAAAGCAAGTTATATAAAATGTTTTTAAATTGCTTGATATAATGTCATTTAGAACTAATTAATTTTAATTCAAAAAGTTTGCTTTGATGCATAAAATATCCCAGATATATGCCTGAATTATACAAGGTTTTATTGCACAAAATATCAGGACATTTGCTTTCCCACCTAGACTAGAAGCTGATGCCTTGCTGATGGCTAAAGAATTTAGCCCTACACAGGCACTTGCAGTGGTGGAGACAATGGAAGAGATGGAATGCAGGAATCCACAATTAATTCAAAAGTAAGTGCATTTTTGTTCTGTTGCTGGCAGGAAAAATAATGATTTGAATGTGGCGGATATTGATGTAACATGTCGTACAGGCAATAATAGCTGTTAATAAGAAAAATATGGCTCATTTATTTTCTCTATCTTTTCCTTAGAGTTGCATCAAATTTAATTGAACATTTGCATCTATACAAACCAGTGGATATTTCAAGAATTGCGCAAGCATTGGTTTTTCTTCATTGTCAGAATCCAGAGCTGTACTTCAAACTAAGACGTATATTAGTCAGGTAAAGTTAACAGAGAAGTTACAAATAGTACTTGGTTCCAATCTTGAAATACAGCAGAAACAATAGTTTTAAGTTATGAAATTATGCCGGTTAAATCAGTACAAAATTACCTGTAGAATAAATTCCAATACGTTTGTAACTTCAGTTTTTTTTTTCCCCCTCAGTTACCTTCAGATCAGTGTCATCCCATATGAAGTATCCATGTTAACTCGTGTTCTCTCCCTGCTGCCCTCCCCACGAATGGATAACTTAATTCCTGCACGTATTGATGCAGTCTTGCCCCAGTGTAACTTAAGTGATTTGAACTCATTTGCCATTGCCATCACTAAATGGATGCGAAATGATTCTTCATCCCGTCAAGATATGGCAGAAGGGTATGTGAAGTTACTACAAAAGCTAAATGAGTGTGGTTTGGAGAGACTGCAAAAGGCAGACAGTGTGAATCTTCTGCTGGAGGAGCTAAAATACATCTCTGGAGAATGGTTTGAAGAAGTACTTGCGGCTAAGACGATGGCTACATTTGAACGATTGATTGATCAGTTGACTTGGTCTAACGTGCCTGAATTTGCCTTATTTCTAACCAAAACAAACTGCCTGCACACAACTCTGCTTGATCGAATAGCATCTGTCACACTTGAACATATAAATAAGGTACGTTTTTAAGAAAAAATGTATATACGAAGAAAGCTTTTAACTTGCATTTCTTCATAAGCACTCTGATACTCCAATTGAACAGGCAGTGTTTTTGGCCTCTGCCATTGCGGCTTTGTTACATGTGTCTAATTGAGCATGTTGGCCTTGCTCTCTCTCCCCTTTCCCCTGCTCCCCCACACGCTAGGAGAAACAACCTCTCTCTTTCACTTCTGCTAAGCATGGAGCCCAGTTGGGTGGAGAATGAAACCTGATTCATTGTCACTCAATGACTGAGTACCTCACCGAAAAAAACTGCCTCGTTTGTTTTGCTAGTCTACCACATGCACTATAAAGCGGTGTTAAAGCGTAACTGAAATCAAGTTTTATTCTGCTTGTTGTATGGGGGGAAAAAAAAACTGCTTTATTGTTTCTTGGATTGCTAATTTGAAAACAAGCTTATATCTGCCAGAAAATAGAGCGCAGTTGCTCGTTTTGTTTAGGCATACATATGAGCTATTGAATTTATTCAATTTCCCCATGCCCTGGAATTAAACTACAGTTGCAGAGAGGAAGTGTTCTATTATTTTTAATGCAAATCTACTTCAACATTTCCATCAAATTAGGCAAAATGGGTAGATTACACTGCCCTCTGCTGTCGTTTATTGGTGTAGGTTTGATTTGTGCTTATTTTTGTTATGTGTTCAAGGATGTTTACAAAAATGTTCACAGATTACAGGAATTTTACATAAGTCTACCTATAATACGGGGTATCTACACTGGTTTGGCTTAGAGAGCATGGTTTATTATAATATCGTCCTAAAAAATCCCCTTTTATTGCATTGCCTTGTATTTACAAAGGTCATGTTATGGTTGTAAAAGTTGAGGGGCCATCCCTGCTCCCTTGAATTTACCCTTGGACTCACCGAGACATTCTTTAACTGCAGCTGAGAGAACCTACATGTAGAGCCTAACCATGCAGTTGCCAAGCTATGTTATGTATTCCGCGGATCCTCTCAACCACTGAGATACAAAGGCAGCTTTGAAAGTTTTTTCATATCTATAGAAAATCTGTCTCTTGGGCATTCCACAAGACATATTAGGAAATCATAGAAATTATTGATCTGTGCTATTATATTTGACGACTGCTCCAAACTATTGCCCGGTGACTCATGTCAAAACGCCATGTGAGAACGTGGTCAGACATGATGCTACTATAGATAAATTAATAATAGTTATGTGTTCTGATTCTGAGTATTGCAGTAATTAGTTTCCAGAGGTAAAGCAGAACCAAATGAAATCTCGTTTTTTGGCCAATTTATGCAACAGATTTGTGACCAAAACAATTCAGTGCTCTTATCAACAAAAATATGGTGGTGATTGTTTTTGTTATTCAACAATTTTAGATCCATTATTCAGCTACATATGCCATCCTGCTCCCTTTTACAATTCTGAATCATGATCCTCCGAAAAGTGAAGATTTCTTTGAATGCTGTATAGAGCATTTCAAGCCTCATTTAAGTGAGTATTATACTAAAGATTGTTAGAGTGGCTCATCCACTATTATTCATAACAATCCTTGCATTTGATATAACACCTTTATGTCGAGAGGATGTGTCCAAACTCTTCACAGAATTTTCTGTAAAATGTGACTTTTTTTAGCAATTGATCTCTTGTATTCTGGGACACAAATAAATGCTGAGACTTTTTCTCCATGTGTGAATATTTTTATGAAATTACAAAATGGTGCCTCGGATAAATGCTAGACTTGCCAGGAGCCAAAGCAGATTATTATATGGATTGCAAATTTGGTTTTGAAAACTATGGTTTTCATCCCACAAGTTAATGACTGGCATTATATGACTTAAAGAACAACGTGATGAAGAATGTTAACATTTTGTTTATAAATTTATTTTCATTGGGAAACCCAGGTGAAGGGCTAAGTAAAGGACATCGCCAAGGTTGAAAAGAGTAGGAGAGGAGACGAGATAGTGGTTAGGTGACACCAAGTTTGTTTTTAAAAGCTTGTAGATTGTAAAAAGAAGGGAAGACTGAGTGAGGTAAAGAGTTCCACCATTTTGAGGTCCTGCAAAAGGTAAATTTATTGAATTTAAAGCTTAAAAACATAGTTACTATACAGAACTATAGAAACTCGAGTAAGAAGCAAGAAAATAAATGTCCTCGGTAATTTAATAGCAATAGTTTCATAACTTTAATAGCCTATCACACTATTGCTTAAACTGTGCTCAAGCACGAACAGTAAATTTCAGACTGATATACATCATTGCTCTATCTGTCAAGTTTCCAAGATTTATTCAACACATCTATCTCATCATCCAAGAAGCCTGAATTGTTTTAATTTACAGAAACTCTGAACAATTTCTTTTTGAAATCCTTTGTAGTTATTTGGCCCATCTTCATAAGTATAATTAGAGGTTTGAACTGGGCTATGAGGTCTGATGTGTAACTGACTGAAAGGTAGTTAGTAAATTTGGCTGTTCCTCCTAATACGTTTGCATGGTGTTTTTCACAATTAGATATTAAAGCCTAGATATTAAAGTGTTCCTTCTGCATTTTTTATTCTTTAATCAGAAGTAATATAAGTGTCTTCTTTTAACATTTGTATTGATTAGTGTGTGTGTATAACGTTAATATTGGTAGTGTGTAGTGATGAGCAATGACAAATAAACTTAAGTTTAAAGATACAGAACATTTTGCTTATTAAAATTATTCGTTTTATTAGCTTAAAATATAAAATATTTTTGCAAATCTGAAATATTTTTGCCTGAAATATAATCTTTGAAATATTCTGTACTCATTGTTGTTTGTTTTCACCCACTCAGGTTCATTCAACCCACATCTTTTGGTGCTACTTGGCTACGCGTTGGCTCTTGCAGATTACTTTCCAGACGATCTAATTCAGACCATTTTCAGTGTGGATTTCCTCATTAAACTGGACGCACAGCTTGAGAGTAAGGGAATTGTATGCATTTAAACCAGAATATTGAACCTCTCCTAGTTATTGTCAAATAAAATGGGTAACGCTCCTACTTGTTAAGAAATAAAATTAGTATTTTGTTTTTTTTCCAAAAGGAAAACTAGTGTAGATTTTTAATCCAGGTAAAACCTAAAGTTGTTATGTTTTTATTTTTGAGTTAGTTGATGCTTATTTTACGGGCAGCTGACAGTAAGGATATTTGCTAGTTATCCATACTAATTATAGACAACACTTTTCAATTGTTTGCTTGTATTTGTTTTCAGAATAACATTTCAAAGGTATTTTGGTGTGTACATTAAATGGTGGAGTTCATTCTAACCCACTAAAAATAACCTGACTTCTATACTAGCACTGTCTGATGCTCTGAACATGCGAATCCGGTTACGCCTAATGGAGCTGAACAGAGCTGTATGTTTGGAATGTCCTGAATTCCAGACCCCTTGGTTCCATGGCCGTTATTGCCAACAGTTTCTAAGTAAAGGTTAGTGCTGTCTTTTTTTTTACCGTTTTATATCCCCTTTCGTTTGCTCCATTGTTCCTCCTTTCTAACAGCTGTTCACTGCATCTCTTTTCCTGGAAGGGAAGGAAAAATAGCCACTTGATTTCTCTGCGACTTTTGCTTCCAATATCTCTCTCTAAACTGGGTCAGTATTGGAATGTGAGTTTGTTACGGCTGTGCAGTCAATCCTGCCATTAACATACACGGCTTGAATGTCACAAAGGTGGCTTTTTCAGTGCCTTGCTTTGGGCACCTTTGTTGCCAAGCTATGGAAGAAGACAATAAAGTGAGCATTTTATTCTGAAAAGCTAATCCGTAATCAGTCATTTGAAGGCTTGTGAGTGCGGCCCCAATTAATACCTCTTTCAATTATTTATTTTCTCCATGCTATTTAATGGATGACAAATTTCGGCCCTTTTGAATAGAGTCCAGTGTTCAGCTGTTGAAGGCTACTTGATGTGTTGATATAGAATTATATTTTATATCTTTAATATGTAATGCTCTACACATCTTTTCTTAAGTTCCATTTTCATTGTTCCAAGTTCTCTCTGTTTTTGACTTTTCTTGTTTCAGTTAGTTAAATCATATTGAAGCTATAGGTAATGTGGAAAATATCTCTTTGTGACTAACAGCTCACTACGTGTATTTTAAGTGTGATTCCGAACACTGCTTTTTATGAAATTTCAATTGTATCTCTCTTGAAGGAAACAGCTATGCCAGTCCAATTCAACAGCAGATCCACAAGATATTAGGGGATATACTCGGAGGAATTAACTACGCCAGGAGCTCTGTGATCACCCCCTATTACTATTCCATAGGTATGTTGTGTGGTGCTTTGCTGTGTCCGGTATGTTATCACATTTCTTTGATGGAAGGATAAGTTAAGTGTTTCATTAAACAATTTCTTATCTTTGGAAATCCAATGATAAACTTTATGTTTGTGATTCATTTGCATCTTCTGGCTCATGAGGATCCATGTAAAGGGAAAATTATTTACGTAGATAAATGGCCCCAATTAATACTCTAAACAGGAACCATAACTGGAGCTCAATTATGATTCATGCCAGGCCTCTAAAAAAAAGTTTGGCTTTTTGTCCAGCTCACAGATGAACTGCCATGACACAATGTCACCAAAAATCTGTTCTCAATGCACCTGTATTGCCTAAAATGAGTAATTGATTATCATTTTTTGCAGGTTGGGAATGCGTCCTTGACAAACACAACAAGCCTCTTCCCTACGTGGATCGGGACACTCTGCTCATTCCTAAAGATGGGAGAATGCTTTGGGGATCACACAACCAGTTGACTGGTGAAACTGAGTTACCACCAGGAGCACAGAGGTTTGTACAGAGTGGCAAAGTCAGTTATAGCAGGTTTCCTCAAAACGTTTACAAAAATATCTATTACTACTGTTTGAATTATCCCTGAAAATCAAAGCCTATATAATTGCTGGGTTGATCTACTGAGATTTAAACCCAGGTACCGTGGTCCCAAATCACAGTTGCCCAAAAAGTTTTAAAAGTAAGGTATTCTCTGCAAAATAGTCTCTCTACACTAATCTGTGTTTAATGTTAGCCAATTAAGCCATATAATCCCAGAGGAAACCAAATCTCTGTACCAGACCTGCTAGAAGGAGGAGTATTGCTTAGCAGTTATGAATAAAATGAGACGAGATGAAAATGAGTTAAATATGGATACAAATAGCTAAATGTGTTGGCTGTTCATTTACATCTCTGCAGAAGATCTGATACCGGTAGAATTACTTGATGACCCAAAATTAACAAAGATTTTGTTATTCCTACAGGGTTGCTATAGAATTTCTCGACTCCAAAGCTTTCTGCAAAAACTCTCAACACATGAAGGGAAAAGAAGTGATGAAAAAGCGGCATTTGGAGATTTTGGGGTATCATGTTGTGCAGGTATATTTGGAAGAAATGCCCAAGAGGAAAAACTAGATAAATTCCATCACTAATGAAAATCTTGCCAATGGAAGTAGCGATAGATTTTAAAGGAATAAGAAGGAATTTTAACAAACATTTTGATAGCTATTTGTTAGGTCAGGGTATTAAGGGGTATGGGGCAAGAGCGGGTAATTGGACTTGAGGAACAGATCAGCCATGATCTTGTAGAATGGCAGAACAGGCTTGAGGGGCTGAATGGCCTAATCCTGTTTCTGTGTATGATGATATTGTGCACTAAACAATGTATATGGACTATAACTGTCACCGTTGATGCCTTAATTTTAATTTTAAACTGAGACCTGAGTTCTTCCTTTGTATTTAACGTTTTGGGGCAAGGTGTTGAATTATCCACCTTTCCCTTTGTTGTTTTTCAATTTGTTCTCTGATTTCGTTGCAGATTCCTCATTTTGAATGGAATTCAATGGAATTGTCAACAAAAGAAGCCTGGATGGAATACCTCCGAAAGAAGATATTCGCAGAAGAATCCTGAAAGTATGAATCAAAGTTTGACAGATAACCATATGATAATGTGTATAATTATTGCGGAAAATATTTTTGATAAAGAGCATTTATATTGGAACTGTATCCATCATATATCTTTGCCATTTTTATTTTTTTAAGGTTATTGCACCAAAATGTTACCTTCTGAATTATCAGCAAGGTAGTGGAAAATCTACATGAAATTTTCATTTTGCACATATAGGGAAAAGTTGGGTTATCAATCAATATACAGTATTTTGGATTGATTGAAAATGTCTTTGATCAATTTTAAGATCTATAAACAGTACCTGAAACTGGAGAATGGTGAGTGAAATCCTATTATTCAAAAACTAGTGAGCGGAATCAAGAAAATGGTTAATGGTTATTCTAGTGGTGAACAAATGCTCATCTCAGGAATATGAGGCCACAAGAAGCAGTCAGATTGGGTTTAGAATGAGTAGATGATATGCCTTTCAAATCTACTGCAGCTTCTAAATGTTTAGAGAATTCCAAATTATTAGATGTTCAGGTTGAAAATGGGCTTGATAATATGAAGTGAAAGGTAATGATAAATGGAAGAGCTGAGCACATACTAGTAAAATTCTGCAGTCCATGCAGAATCTTCTACTGTTTATTAATTTGTGAAACGTGTGACGAGGTAATATTATAAATGGTGATAAATTATATCATGTGCCATGTGAAAGATTTATATAATTCAAAGAGATATGGACAAACCAAGCAGATGAAATTTATTATGGATAAATGTGATGCACACAGTTGGCAGTAACACATGAAATGTTAGTTCACAATGAATAAGTTCTCAGTTATCAAAGGTTGTAAAGGAAATGCATCTGACCATTAAACTAAACCACCCTTGGGTTGTGTGTCGGATTTAAATCAAAGCTGATTATTTGAACCTCTCAATGGTAAAACCACACTTGGAATACTCTGCAATGTTGGCACTCCACCTTCAAAAGAACATTAAAACAATGGAATAAGGATAGGACTTTATAACGATAACTGGTCCTGTCTTTGCTTCAGAAAGAAATATTTGATTTTCTTTTGCATGCAAATCCTAAACGTTAACTCCCTTCACTGCACCCTGGCCTGGATTCACTGTACCTTCAATGATAATACCATCCGGTATCCGATAATACTATTTAGTAACAAAGGGGAATCATTGCCAAGTAGTAACTTGAGTTGTGAAAATGAATTAGTGAATAACTGTATAGTTCCATGACACACCATAATGTACAATAGCTGTAGTCAATGGCAATAAATTCACGATGCAACTGAAATAGCTTATAATTTAGTGAGTCTAAACATGTTGAGGCGCACAGCCAGACAGGTGGCTCCTGAAGCGTAGGTGATTTCTCTCAGCAAGCCACACCATTCCTTCTTGTCATCTTCATATCTGAAAAAACACATTTAGTTAGCTATTGCTTTAGAGTATAACATTTCACCCTAAATGTTCATGTGAAATTAGTTTTACATTTAACTTACTTCCACACATCTGTGATTTCTGAGGGAGAAAATTCTTTATTTTCCAACTGAATCATGGCAAACCCTCCAATGGCATATAGTGATCCTCCCATACTGAGCACATTGATGGAGCTTCTCTCCTGTAGGAATTCAGCCACCGTTTCCCACCTGCAGTAGTCAAACAAGAATTCTCAGGTTATTGGGGTTTGGTACATGTATTACATCTGTTACTTTCTGAACCATGTCTGTTTCTACAAGTGATCCCTTTGATAATAATATTCCTTGCATTTGATATAGCGCCTTATCACATTGTTGAGCAGTCTTAAAGCACTTCAGAGTATACTGCAAAGTGAATTGACTGTATATTTTGTGGGTGAAACATGGCAGTGAATTGCACACAGCATTGTCCCACAAACAGTCATGGATTGCACTTTCAGCTCAGTTGCTAATTAAGGTAAATTGAATTCTGCAGCTTCTACAATATCACAAGGCACAGACTTATGAGAATAATTAAAAATAAGTAACTAAGTACGACAAACATTTTTACAACTTTAAAGATTAAAGAACTAGAGCTGATGATAAAAATGTGATTTGCTTTATTCTCAAGGGTTTCACATGTCAGATAATGATAGGTTGTATATCAGGAATAACTGCTTAAAAGGTCTGCTAAGAGTATTTGATTAAAGTTTATTTGAAAACAAGCTCATCACCAAAGCTGCACAAAGACTGTTTTGATTTTGTTTTTACTCACTTGTTATTCAGGATGTCATAGGTCTCAGTTGCAGCTGTCAAGCCCTCATCAGTGACCCCTCCAACCACCCATATCTTGCCTTTATGCACAGCAGCTCCAAACATGGAACGAGCTGTCTTCATGGCTGCTAGCTCTCTCCACTCAGATTTCTTTGGGTTGTACACAAACAGCTTGCTCAAACATTTACTGTAGGGCACAACAGAATTATCATTAAAAATGTTGAAATACATCAATTTGGAAATAATCTATAACTTTGGGTGATATGATTAGTACTTACGTGTCGTCAGTTTTCCCACCAATAACATAGACTAATCCGTTGTATGAAACCACAGAATGACCATAAATTTTAAGTGGGAATGCTTTACAATCACTCCATTTCAGTGCTCTGAAAGAAAATAAATCCATCATTAAATCTGATACTGACTAATGTGCTTTGTGGATTAAGGTAATGTGTTTTTCACATTTAAGAATACTGACCTATAGTCCTGGCTTCATGAAAGATGTGAGCTAACCTTTAGCCAAAAGTGGGAAGGTTTTAGAAGATGATAAGAAAGATCAGTCTTACAAAAGGCAGAGAAACCGATTTCCATTACTAAGTCTAAATTTGTTAAATCCTATTGATAACTTGACGGCAAAACCAAACACAGATACAGTCTGCATTTGTGTCAAATACACTCCAATGATTGATGGGAAATCGATTGGTTTCTAACCAACTCCAGACAACTATGCCTTCGCTTGAGAAGAAAGGAGTCCTGTCCTCTGCCTCCAAGATGGAATTGTTAAATGTCACACTGAAGCAATCCAAAATCGGATTATATTGAAGTGTATGAACCCAACTGACTGATTCAAATCAGCAGAAGAACCTTAAATTTATTTAAAATGTAATCCTAAAAAGTTCCTGGTCTAACTGTTAAAGCTTCTAAGATTTCAAAACAACATCTGAGGAACCAGTCTTTTCCGCTCATCAACTATTGTATAATCCAAGCGCATATTCGCAGAAGAGACAAGTTTGATCCTGATTACAAGATTACTGACAATCATATAAAAGCTAATGGGAACCTAGGAAAATGAGAAGGTTCTGCATATCAATCACAATAATATGTGATCTGATTATCTGGAACATGAAAATACATCACTTCTTCCCAGATTTTTGCACAATCGAACCAGAATCCTGTCAGAATCTGTCCGTTAAAAGAGTTTTGAAAAGACAACGATTGAGGCGCTCCTGAACACTAACCCGTTTGAAGGGCGCTATATAAATGCAAGTTGTTGTTGTTGATCCGATTATAACTTGAGCAGCACCAAGAATCGGTCTTGTTGAGGCCTTGTTTTGCAAAGAACTGCTACACCTTCCAGTTTGATACTAACTCAAACTGCAGCCGAATACAGCGGTGAAACCTTTCAAACCGCCTCTGCAAACCATCTCCCAGACAGCGGGCATTGCCTCCAATGCTATCCCTTGGAAGAGTTAACTACCAGTTGCTGAACATAATTAAGTTAAGAACATGTAGCTCGCTGTGGGAAATCTCAAAATCTTTCTGTGTTCCCAACTGTTACCGGGATCAAGTTCTGATGCAGCTGTGCTCAGTTATCTGGTAGTGCTTATTCATCTAATATTCAAATGAGAAATGACTGTTGCACCGATACTATTCAACGAATATGAAAAAAAGAATAACTCTGCTTAATCGCAAACCATTTCTAACGAATGTGTGTATCTTCATACATGTTAACAGGCAATATTGCACGCAATAACGAGTTGTTCTACGCGCATATCAAAATGCTAACACATGGTTCGAAAGGAAACAGCATGAACGTACTTCAAGTCGTAGCACATGACTGAATCCAGAGACTCTTCACTTTGAAGATCTTTACCACAAATCACGTAAAGGTGATTCTCGGCTTCTCCCACGCTGAAGAGGATCCTGGCTGAAGGCAGTGGTGGTAAACCATTCCACTCACCGGAAATGCTGTCAAACTGAAGTATAAAACACGTGAATGTAAAATCCCCAAACTCTACAGTTCGATCTACATATATAGGTTGAGAGATCCAATGAGATGTTGGTGATGCCACATTTTACACATGTACTTTGTAGCATTAAAAATTATGTTCGGAGTTTGGCCGAGGGTTATTCACATATCTGTGAAAGCGTATTAGTTACACAATAGAAAACAAGAAAGGAGTAAATTGGGTTATGAAATATTCGTACATTCTATGTGAATGATTAACAAAATTGTTCACAAAAAATCTAATTTGGATTTCTCATCTTTTTTTAATTCTGACTGCAGGAAATAGTACGTTTCGATCTGTTGCAATTAAATTCTGAATTATAACAGTCAATTTACAATTTAACTTCAGAATTAGCAGGATTTACGTACCTGAAAAAAGTAAGAGTGGTAAGGGTGGTCTTTGATTTCTTCGTCAATATATAACCCACCAATAACAAAGATTCGGTTTTCCTTTGTCACTATACTGACATGGTTCTTGGGAATCTGATCATCCATGGCTGCCAGAAAGCACTGATTGAGGTTTGGATCATATGCCACTGCTGCTGTATCATTAACAAAGAAGATCATTTCTTTGACGAACATGCCATGTCTGGGAATGTCATTCAGGAAACCAGGGAGCAGATCCTCTTCCCCCACGTCGTTATTTGCTGAGTCGTCACCGGCCGCTCCTTTCTTATCGGCTTTTCCTTTGTCTTTGGTAGGCTCGGGAAGTTTCCCAGCAAAGGCATTCTTAATCATCTGCACCTTTTTCAACAGCTCGGGATCAGCCTTGATAATCGCGTCCTTCTCCACATGTTCCTTGATGTATTTCTCAGCCATAAGACGGAAACGAATGCAATCAAAGATCTCTCCCAAATGTTTCAACCTGTTCTCCTTGTCGGATTGGACCCACTTCATAACCGTTTCAAAGACCACCTCTTCCTTCTCTACATTTAAGGAGTCGCTTGCAATTAAGCTGACAAATTCGTGTAGGGCGAGCTGCATGAAATCATCTTCTTTAGAGATTTGTTCGAAACGATCTGAGGCGTACTCGCGAGCGGCCAAAGCAAGCCGTGGGCAGTCAAGGAGAAGTCCTAGTCTGAAGATGGCCAGACAGTTATTAACAGCCAGTCTTTTCTGAAGATATGTAACGCACATTGTGAACACCGACGGGATCTGAAACCGGCTGGCAACAGCGAAAATATGTTGCACGTTCTCATCATTCAGAATGATCTCAGAAGTATACAGGTATTTGAGGATCAGGTCCATTACATTCGGGTCAACATCTTCCAGAACCACCTCTTTCTTTTTCTCCTCCGTATTTTCCTCCGAAAAGAAATACTCACGGAAATAGGGGCTACAGGCTGCCAGGATTAGACGGTGGCATGGAAAAGCCTTGGTCCCGATTTTCAGAGAGCAGTCGACAAACTTGTTCTCATCCAGTAGTTCTTTCAGTCCATCCTGAAGCAGAGTGGTTTGGTAGAGCCGAGATTCTTCCCTTATGTCCTTTTGAGCGTCCATTCTGTGGATAGAGTGGGTGCTGGAAGTCACAGAGGGCAGGTGGTAGCCGCACTCAGGTCCTGGCTGAAAAAGGCAGATCAACGTGCTTTGCTCCACATTAAGTACTTGAAATTTAAGCCCACCAGCTAAATATAGAGAGACATCCTTGCACTTTGGAATTTAGGATTAGCCAATGGAGAAAGCAAACCTCAATTTGGCAGCTGCTTCAGACAGAAAGGAACAACTGTGCAGCTCTGATCGAATTGAGAGTGACAGGACCGGACAGGCAATAAGGACAGAAATAGCAATAGAAACGGTTACTAAGTAAATTACAATAACAACAAAATTACATTTATAGAGCGCCTTTCACGTCGGGAGGACGTCCCAAGGTGCAGCAGATACACTGATGTGTATACTGTAACTAACAATACACATTATTATATTACAATTATACACATCAGTCCAGCTAGTAGGTGATTCCAAGAAACATGAACATTTTACGTTGTAAAGCCTAATTTCTAAACAGTCAGAATTGTGAATGGCCACGTCAGACCTTACAGCTACCAAAGTTACTCACAAATCTCTTTGGGTGTTGATGAAAGACTAAAAGTGTTCTGAGGATTAATTTTAACATTTAAAATGTATTACTGTGTTACTTCAACAATCTCATGACAACTAAAACATGCATCAGGCTATTAGTCATCATGAAATGAAGTCCTCAGGTAATTATAGATTCACCATCTGCTTTTCAAATGTTAACACTTTTATATATTAAAGACCATAATATGTTTGAGTTGTAATTGTATTAATAATCAAAGACTTAATTACATAAAAATTCCATGGGAAATTATTACACTCCAACCTTGCCAGATTTTTAAAAAAAATATCAATGCTTGAAGCAATTCTAAGTTTAAAATAGAAGTCTTCAGGTTAACTGTACTAAATATTTTCTTTTAAGCAAATAAACGCCACAGGAAAATATCCTATAAAATATCTCAAAACAAAATTGAGAAAACTGAACAAAAATTGTTTAATATTATAAATCCACCAAAAAAACAATAGAGCATAATACTTTGAATTTTAAATTTAGGTGAATCATTCGCTTTCGTGTTGAATTTTAATTAAGTTGCTCAACATTAGCCCGAAAGCAGTGATCACTCCAGATCACGTTTAGCATCAAGCAGTTGATCAACTTTACTCTTAAGCATCCTAACAATGTAGAAAATGGCATTTATACAGAACCTTAAACATAACTATAAACTTATAAGACCATCCAGTCTAGAATATTGTTGGAAGACTACTATTAAACTCAAAGCACGAATGGACCATCTATTCTTAAGCAACATGAACTATGCAATTCAAAAGTTAGGAATGTATGTTTTTTTAAGCTCAAGTGTGTTGAGCAATGTAACCTGCAAAAGTAGCGCTTTTCAAATGATAAATAACAAAGATGACAAGGAATTTTGAAAATCAAAGACTTTATTCTTGAGAAGCAGCTTTACTGAGTGACACATCGCAAAACATAAGTCTCTTATAGAAACCCATAAAATAAATACAAAGGCGGTCTAAAAATTTAACCCATCACTTCCCACAATCCCTGAAGAGTGAATCCATCTTTCAGTTTCTCGACTGCAAGCCCAAGTTCTTCTGAATAGACAGGCTCACGGTCTTGTTCCTGATTAGAAAGCAAATATAAGTGAACGTTAAACTGATTTCAAAGCTATGCATACAAAGAACTATTTGCTAAATCACAGGAAATTAGTTACGGATTAATATAATATTTTAAGAAAAGAAAATTACCTTATTAGCATCTGCAAAGTAAGCCTGGAATAGAAAACAAAATATATTAAATCTACAAAAGTCAATGTTTTCCAATGTTAAAAATGTATTCGTCACTTTTTTTAAAAAACACAGTCCTTTGTACCCAAGAGATATTGCTGATTTAGGTAGAAAGTCCATGCCCACTTTAACATTTAGGGAAATAATTAACATGCATTGTGTCCTCAGAATGTATATTTTTTTAAAAATACATGAACTGAATCACTAACATTTTCAGCACTAATTCATGAATTTTTTATTATAATCAGTCATCAAAACAGCTTTGATTTTATATATAAATTACAAAAAACACAAATGAGATTTTAAATCCACCATTTTAATTCTTCTTTTCCAATGAATTAAATAATTTTTATTTCATTAACTCAGGGGAAGAAAGGCCGAAGATCAGATGTTTACTTTGACTTATATAACTAAAAATACTTCAGCGCAGTACACACCAACGTCACAATTACTCACTTTACCTCTGTCCTCATCACTGAAGGTCAGGTTCAGAACTTCAATGAAGCTAGTTAATCCTGGCACCAGACCAATGACTATTTCACGGACTGAGGTCAGGCAGCTAAAGATGTTCTGAAGTATGACAAGGCTGATAATTTGGATGGCTTGATTCATTGTTATTCCTATTTCTGACACGTATCATGTCAAAATATTCATTGCGGAGGTTTTTGTTTAAAGTTAAACTCACCACGAAAGCATCGTTTTGTTCATCGGGTTCAATTTCAACATCATCTTGAACTTGCTCGATTGTCAGCTCCTCAAGTGGTTGAGGCTGTTACAAAAAATCAAATCAGTCCAGACACCATTATTATACTAAAGACTTAGTACTTTAAGATAATAATAATCCTTGCATTTGATATACCACTTTTCACGTCTTCTAGTCATCTCAAAGCCCTTCAGAGAATATACTGTAAAGTGAATTGATTGTATATTGGTGGGCGAAACGCGACAGCAATTTCGCCCAGCAGTGTCCCACAAACAGTGGTGGATTGAAGTGACCAATTTATTATAGGTTTTTTTTCTTGAGGGATTATTATCAGTCAGGAAGTAAGGAAACTTGCCCAAGGTTTTGCCCTGCCGGGAATTGAACCCAGGTTTCTCACTTGTGAGGTGAGTGTTCTAACTACTGAGCTACAGGACTCTAATAATGAATGATTATTCAGTTATTTAAATTCAATTTTATAGGTTCCTTCCAGTAATGACTAAAATCAGTCCCAAGAACAAAATCGTCCATGATCACATACTGCAAGAAATTATTTTTTTTACTCCTCTGGATCTTGCTGCTGAACCTGACTTTCCTGGTTCTCATTTTACTTCTAGATTAACACTGAGATTATATTTAACCTGAGGGTCAAATAGAATGTTTCAATGACTGAGTACAAGTCATTGTTTCAGAAAAAATAATCAGATCAGACGGGATCCAGAAGGCAACTAGTCCATCTCCACACTTTTAGACCAGGTAGTTGCCACCTAAGATCATCCTAATCCTTAGATGACCATGAATATTCATAGTAAACATTTCTCTTATAAACATCAGAAGATTTCCAAAAAATCTCAAATCAATGAGAAAATGCCTTGCCCTTAAATGCTATTCTTCTTTGATTCTCCTTGAGCCTGAAGATAGATCTTCTGAGATGCTATACTGGATTCTACAACCAACTAACGGATTTAGATTTCCGTCCCCTCTCCTCATGAAATTAATATAGTACTGCATATTCTACTGGAACCTTTAGTTTATAAAAATGTTTTCAAAAAGCAGTGATTTATTGAAGATTTGGAATTTGTACTAACATTTATATGTAGTTTATATAGGTTAAACGATTACCTTTTCTTCCATTTCGTACTCTACTCCAAAGATAGGGCTGGCAGAGTAAACTTTGTGCAATGAATTTATCTCCTTTACGGCCGCTTGAAGTTTCTCCACCGGGTCAATTTTAAAACCAAGCACATAACCACCACTCTAAACATAACAAAATTACTACATTAATATCACGCTGTTTTTCTGCACAGACTAAGCCAAACAAATTTATTTTTGCTTTTTCCACGCTATATAATTTTTCCAAAGAGGACAAGATTATTAAGTATTGTTTACCTATTACACAAGGCAAAGATTCTTAATACAATTTATATAAAGGTAAAATAACTTAAATAGCTTTGTTATTGAATAATGTGATTAGCATCTTATTAAAATGTTTTTTTTCAAACTTGAAAGACATTCAGTTTACCTGTTGTGAACTTTCTATTACAAGTGCTAGCCCAAACTTTGAATCCCGGATTTTTATTGAACGCTGCAATGAAACAAGAGCAAACTTCATACTGTACATATAACAGAAGTTGTCCAAATATGTATATTAATGAAACCATATTCAAAATGATGCAACATTCAACAATATTGCCCTAATACAATTCAAGTCATAAAAATCATGGCGATATAAATATTCTTCTGGGTGTTCAGGTCATGGCGCTATACCGAGTGCACTATAATAGGATTCCACAGTATAAAACATGATGAAAATCGTTGCAAAGCATAGATTATCGGACATTACAAACTTACAATTTGTAGATAGGGAATGCTGACATTGAAACTGTCATTCATGTTTGCATGCCACACTATTCGAACATTTGTGATGAAAAAGGTTCCCAAATTGCCCTGCGGAAAGGGAAATCGAGGAATAATTAAAAGTAGACAACCTTAAATGGCACCAAACTTAAGTTAACAAGGTCTTTTCCAGACTTCTCTTAAAAAATCAATTTCCTAACTACTATATATTGTTTTCTCCCATGTAGACACACGTTCCTGAAAAGAAATAGGATACTAGACATACCTGATCACTAGACAGATTCCAGACACCATTAATTTTGTCATAAACTTGTTCCTGAGGCAAAAGTCTCAACTGCTTGTTTTGAATGAGAGCTCCTCTTAATTTCAGATCTCTGTAGATTTTGGATGTCTCGTACGCTCTGTAACAAAATATTTAATTTGAGGAAATGAGAATTTAATGAAACCCATCATGAAGTTGTTAATTTTTTTGCATACGAAGCTGGCTGTATCCGTAGGGGTTTGCGGTTTGAAGGGAAATGTGGGAGAAGTCACAGGTATGGAAATTGGACCATACCTCTTCATACCACCCAACATTTCCACTTTCTAAACCGTGAAGCAATTAAACAAAACCCTTATCTGCGAGTGTGGGAAATGGCTAGGCTGTGTGCCCACATTCGCGAGATCGGTTTGAATTTCCTGTATTAACCTTGAGAGAGATCGGCGTGTGTGGACACACAGGGCAGCCGCTTCCCTGTTCCGATTGAATTGGAGTGTGAATGAAAATACACCATTTTGTCTGGACTTCTATGAGCAAAACCCCAAAATCAAAACGCCAGCCACTTCTTGTCGTATTTGTGTGGAGATGCCACTTAATTGGAAAGCTAATATTGTAATATTCACTAGTTAGCAACAACAATTTGCCTTTATGTAGCATCCTTCACGTGGGGTAGCATCTCGCTGCGTATAAATTTAATTTAGTCACATGTAATGTAATCCTACCTGTGCACAGCAATGACAGAGGTGAATAATCGAGGACTTCCAGGGATCACGCTGGTAAAGATAAATTCAAATCGTGTGTTGTTGCATTTAGTAAGGATGTAAAGAGCTTCAGTTTGACCTCGAAGTTTCTGGAAAAAAACCCACTCATTTTGAAATACTTTGGTGCTGGTGGGGGGAAGAGTTCTCCAAGGTTAAACACAATTACCCATTCAAATCAGGTAGCTTGCAACTTGCACTCAATTTTTTAATATAGAATTCTACTAAAGTAAGTAGTGAGTACAAATGTGGCTGTTCAGAGGTTACTTTATGCTTAGCCACTGCAGTAAAAGTACTTGGTCTGTGGAAAATTGCTGCTGCAATCCTCAAACCTCCAAATAAATTTACACCTGCCAAATAATAAAAATTGTAGAAGTATACAATCCACTATGTTCAAATAACCGACTTTCTAACCTTACCGAGTTAGCAGTTCGGGTTGTTATGCTTAAGATGCAGTTAAAGCCAACAGCTGAAAGAGAAATGCGACAACATTAAATTAGAAAAGGATATACAAAACTAGCTGTATATAAATAATACAAATTGGTAAGGCGTTGTACATAGCTACTAACATGGGTCTTAGGGTTAGGGTTAGGCATGTTGTTAACTGTAGTACACTCTCCAACATACTGCACTATGGAGGAAATTCATGCAATCAGTGGTCAGATTCATTTCATGGTAAACAAATGAACTACAGTAACCAAACTCGCCTGATGGGAGTTTTACTTACATAAATTAACACGTGGAAGAGCCAGTGAGTGCCAAATAATTCGCAAATTTGTCACAAGCAGTCGACCTGTAAAAGTAAATTGTCGGTGGTTTTAAAAACAGCTTCTTAAATAAAAACAAAACAAAAGTGTAGTTGAACAATGATCGACCAGCCTCAACAATAGGCTTGATAAAACACGTTGAAAGTTGACAAGCTAATGGCCAACGGGTAGAACGCTCCGCGCTGGACAAGCTGCAGGAAACTGTACAGTTTATCTTTACCAGTACACCAATGTGCACCATCTCGTCCCTTGATGCCTGGACCTCTGCTCACTTACGCCTGTTTTCCCCAGGCACAAGCAAGTGGGGTTGCACTTTTCCCTTAGATAAAGGTATAATTGAAGAACAAGTGCTAATAAATATATACACACATATATATATATATATCGCAAAAATAGATGTTTGCTGCAAAAAAACGTAAACTTCCAAAAGTATGAATCACTCTCTACCTCTGTCTCCATTATTTCCTTTCGTATCTTCAATGGAATCCAAACAGTCGATCAAGACTTCTCCAGGTCTCACCTTCATCTGTCTAAACAGAAAACACGTCGTGTTACCATCGGGTTCGCCTGCAACGTCTAAGCGCTCTGGGGCGCTATCCTGTCTTTTCGACCGCGCCTTGGGTCATCTTCCTCCCCGCCCCCCCCTCCCCCCCCTCAGCCCCACCGGCTCGGCGCCGGTGATCCGTTACCGCGAAGCGCTCCCGAGACGCCGCCCGGCGTGGAGGGCGCCGCGTAACCCAAGTCGCCGTCGGGTCTCGACGCGAGTCGTTGCACCCGAGCGAATGGGGGGGAAACGAAACCCCACACGCCCTCCCTTCGCTCGCTTCGACGTCTCGCCTCGACCCCCCCCGAGGCAGGATGCCAGGATCACCGCGGTTAAGGTTGGCGTCGCTGTCGTCGTTGTCGTGATTTATTCTCAGTCGGGGCTTCGCTTCCGACCCCTTGAAAAGGAAGTGGGGGGTCGATGGCGCCCTCTGGTGGGGGTGATCCGGCACGACACGGACATCAATCACTCCCCACTCCCCTCCCCTCCCCTCCCCACCCCCCCCCCACCCCTCAGTGCCCGTTTCGAGACGCTGTGCGTTAAATAGATTCAACAACAACAACAACAACCACCACCACCGCATCTTATGGCGCCCTAAAGCCAGACGCCATTTTAGGCTCTGGCCATCACCTCATGAACCCACAGTGACTGCCCCTCGGGGGGAGGGCCGGGCCGGGCCGGGGGGGGGAGGGCCGGGGGGAGGGGGGGAGAAGGGGGTGGAGGTGAGGCCACTGCAAACCGTCACCCAGACCGCACTCACTGAAGAGAGATGTCGAATCTGACGTCTCTGTCCTCCCAGCAGCGTCCAACACCGACGCCATGGCCCCCGGCCCCGGGCTCCGGCCATCACATCACCATGGCAACCGGCCGGCAGGCAGCGACACCCCCCCCGGGCCGGCCAGGGAACCGCCGCTCACCGCGCCGACAGCGCCTCCGCTGGCCGGGCAGGGAACTGCAGCCCGCCGGAGGTTGCAGCGCCGCCACCGCCCTGGGGGCGGGATGTGGCGCTGCCGCTGACCGCAACGACGCCGCCTCCACTGGCTGGATCTGGTACTGCAGGTGGCCACCGGTTGCGCTGCCTCCAGGGAACCGCAAACGGCCCCCAATGACCGACCGACTGCGGACGGTGGTTTTCGCCCAAAAGTACGCAGTCACTACACTTCACGGTATATCTTGCGAAGCGCCTTGGAGACGCCTCGACAGCGGGATCAGGCGCTGCATCAAACACAAGGATTATTGTTATTATTATAGCAACTATCCCTGGAGGGGCGGGGGTGGGGGGGTGTTGGCGGGGGCGGGGGTGGGGTTGGAGGCGGGGACGGAGGTGGGGGCGAGGTAGGGGTGGGGTGGGTGGGGGGCGGGGGGGAGGCGGGGACTGAGGTGGGGCGGAGGTGGGGCGGAAGTAGGGGTGGGGTGGGGTTGCGGTGGTGGGGGTGGGGGCGGGGCGGGTGGGGGCGGGGGTGGTGTGGGGGCGGGGAGCGGGGGTGGGGGGTGGGGCGGGGGTGTATGCGGGGTGGGGGTCGGGGCCCGGGCCGGGCGGGGGGCAGAGGTAAGGGCGGGGTCCCGGGGGCGGGGTGGGGGTGGGGGGCCGGGGGCGGGGTGGGGGGGGCCGGGGGCGGGGGGTGGGGGTGGGGCCCGGGGCGGGGTGGGGGTGTCCCAGGTACTATGTTTGGCAACGGAATGTGAACGTCATGTCATTCCTCTGTGACAGTCTTGGTCGTCCAGTTCCTGAGCCTTAAGTCATGGATACAAATAATAATAAAATAATAATAATAATATAATAATAATAAACCCGGCACTTGATACAGCACAAATGGTTCAGTTGCAGTCCACGGGTTACAGACCACCTGTACAGGGCGGCTGGACATGAAATAGCTTTTTCGAATAGTAAAGCTTTGTAACTGAATAAAAAAAATAGATAAATAGGATTTAATCTGATCAGGGGTTTGATTTACATACACCCAGTTATTTGCTTGTCGATCTCATTGCTGATCGTTGCAAGCAACCGCAACTGGCTCTGGACAATTTGACTAGCATGTAGAGTGATTGTACAGGTATTCAAAAGAGATGA